GCTTGAACAAAAAAACATATATATTATATTCACTTCAAAGTTCAAACTAACGTGCAAATATGTTTCCTTCGGTTTCTGACACCACTTTGTTTCTTTTTCTAATAGCATGCATGTACATTGCCAACTTTTCGTGATGATGGATAAATACTTCGTCAAATAAAGTTCAATATTTAGTCTGTGATGGTAAGATTCTCTGTTGCGTCGCAATTATTCTACGGCAAGTATAAAAGTATTCTACGACAAATCCGATGCAAATATTCTCGTATGTGAAATAGAACCCTCGCACCCTCAATTCCTCTACAGAACAATTATATAGAAATAAGAATAACCTGTCTTATGGACAAATTGCTGCCATTTCTAAGGCTGTCAATAAAAAGTTATAAAAGGTTACTTTGTTAAGCTGAGCATGCTCAAAAGTCAAAAGTTCATCCATAGGATATTTAGTGTTTGATGTTTGGTACGAACTTTAATAGACAAATATAGATATATATGAAGAATGTGGGGGGTGTTTCTGTCGGTTTTCCTAATTTTAATTTAGAGAAATTCTATCTTACTCACACAAATTTTATGGATTTTGAAACTATTAATTTTAAATTAGTAATAATTAATTCTTTATTTAATTTTTTTGTCATGTTATAATTTTGTATTTGTGTCAAGTAGTTAGTTAGAAGTATCGTAGATATTTGAAATTGGTCAAAAAATAAAATAGAGGTTAAACCTCTTTATCTTTTGTTAAATCAAAGTAGTATTATAGACATTTTTTCATTCCATGTTTTATAGGTCTTAAAATTATATTTTCACACTTTTATTAAATAACTAATATAATATAAGAAAGTGGTTGAAATATAAAGAGAAAAATCATATGAATATGAAACATGTAACTTAATAGAAAGAATTATACCAAAACAACTCAATTTATGAGAGTATTATAGTAACAACCTTTATTTTTAAATTATATAATTATTTAAATAAAAAGTACGTAGGATATTTGTACAGTTTGTACAGTTTGTACGAAAAAATTCCACCAAATAGCAATACTCTAAAGTGAATGAGACGCCATTTTCAATCCATTTCACGTTAAAGAGTTTTAAAATCACAGCACATTTTCAAGTTTTAATATATAACATTCATGCATTAAAATTCGTACTGTCCAATAAATGTATAAACATTATTTCAAATTAATAAAAGAAAGTATTTCAAGTTAACAAGTATTAAAATCACCCTATATTCAGATCAAAAATAAAAATCACGATACATTTTTCATTTATAACATTATCGTATACTAAAATTCGTACCAAAAACCATTTCCCACATCACTTTATCATCTACTTTAACTTACCATCTATATAAGAAATAAATACAATAGCCACATTTATAAATAAATAATTATAAAGTGGTTTGTGGGACAGCACGGCCACAAACTTTTTAACTTTTCTTAATGCGTTTGATTTTATGGTGAAAATTATTTATGCCCCTAGTTAATTAAATATAATTATTCATTTGGTTGATATAATTGTACAAACTTTACCTTTTAGTCTTATATTTAAAAATTGTTCATTTTAATCTCTGTATAAACTTTTTTTAATTTCATTTTGATCTCTGTCCTCAGTAACATGATAGCATCAATAAGTCTAAAATCTTTTGACATTTTTAACAGTTACAAATTAAAAAAAGTTGAGTTTTTTTTTTCTGGTTTGCTTTCTACCTTCTTGTGCTCTCTTCTCCCTTCTTTCTTCTATATTTGACTTATCATGTAAGCATTCATTTTTTCTTCTACTCTTCGTTATTGAATTTAATCATGGTTGTAACTATAATAGTCGTGAAAGGATCCACATAAATAGCAATGATTTGTTATGAATATTAGTTACTTTCATCAAATAAAGTAGTGAATGTTAAATTGTTATTAACAGAAAATAACAATAAATGGAACATGTTAAGTGATAATCATACTTATTCAATCCGGCAAAATGAAATTAATCACTCTTGAATCAATCGCAAATTCGCAATAGGTAATAAATTCAACATGTTCAAAACGAAAGAATCAGCAAAAATATGGCCCAAGTGTCCACTGGAAAACTACAAAAAAACTACAACATCAAGGACGTGCATCAGGCCCATGGCTAACGCATAAACTCCAGGCAAAAAAAACAGAGAGAGAGAGGCAACTATGTGCTTTTATTATTATTCTCCTATCAGAATTAAAACTCTTCTTTAACAACTCATTATTATGCAAGGATTTAATTACTCAATTGATCTATCTATTTATACAAATTTTACATGTCTCTACACTTAAATATATGTAACATTTTCTTTGTAAACAATTTTAGTTTCGTTTTAGTCTTTATCGTAGATAAATACAACGTTGATATGACATTGAAATATACTGCACTTTATTTTAATTCTCATACTTGCATTATTTTTCTCTTTTGGTCCTCATACTTGAACTATCCTTACCTTTTGGATCTTATGTTTCTTTATCAACACTTCCCTCCTTTTATTGAGTTCTATTTCTTCTAAATCTTCTCACGTCAACAAATTTTCATTAATCTTAAGCCAGTTAATCTCGAGATGACAAAGTCTGCAAAATCTAAATGCACTTCTTGGACAAGACAAGATAAGTCGAGTAATTTCTTCTGTTGCCATTCTTTGTAGTTATGGTGACTAGCTATATCATTTTAATTTTGCTACATTAAAAACTTAGAAATATGAAATTTGCCATTTAATTCATTTTCTAGATCATATAATGTTTATGCCATGCTCCGCCATCAAAAATCATCTTGAAGATAGTGTAGTGGAAACATTTTTATTTTCAAATTTCTAACAATTTAACAACAAAAAAATCTTCAACAATTTTACATGGCTGCTTTCAATTTTTTGATAGTGTTAAAGAAACTAAAACTAATTGAGTGACATAATTATTAAAGACGAGGCATGAAGCATCAAAAAAACATGCTCATACAGCAATGACACAAATATCTAAATATTTGATGTTACAAGATTAAATCAATACAACAAAAGTTTATCATATATCTCCAAGCATTTGATGCAACAAAAGTAAAATGATGCAACAGATCTTCATCACAAAAGAGTGTCAACACAAACTGTTACTAGCAAACTATCTCATTTTATCTAAGTGCATCTAAACTCTACAACTTCTAGACTCTCCAATTGTATCAATGAATATTAATTGATGCAAGAGGATTTAAAAAACTTTGCTTCCATAGGAACTAAATAGTGTAATTCCTAGGTAGGTATTAAAATGTAAAGATTGCTCAAGTACAAACCAAAAAGTAGAAATAATGCAAGTATAGAAACAAAAAGGAAAATATAACCTAAGTATAGAAACTAAAACATAAAGCACAATGTATGTCAACGTCACACCAGTGACATGTAAACCATCATTAGCAACATTCAGTTTTTTTTAACGTCAGATATCAAAACAGAATTGAAAATATTTGTAGAGGAACTAAAATAGATGATTTTTTAACTATAAAGACTAAACATTAAAAATTGTTTAAATTTAAGAATCAAATGAACAATTAAACCTGACGCAAATTACCAAAACCAATCTTTAACATTGATTGAAAAACAACGTTAATAGTTCATATGGAACCGCATTTAAGTTTTATCCACAAGACAGGTGGAAGAAAAAGGGACTCGTGTGACTATCATGAAAAAATGTAGGGCACAATCTATCTCGCACCACAAAAACTTGAGCAGTCAGGAGCTGGTACTGTGCCATGTCTTAATCTTGCAGCTGATTAAACTTACTGGCTCACTAACACTAAAGCAAACCACCTCGGCCAGCTGCGATGTAACAAACCCTACCACTTCACAAATTTCATCTATCCCAAACAAGGGCTATGCCTATGACAGATCATTGAATATATCAATAGAAGTATAAACCCAAATATCAATCAAATAGTCATGATTTTAAAATAAAAATTTCATCCAAACGTGATCAGATATGTGAAAACCTCATCTCTGTTTATATTAAAAAGATAATTCCTAGGATTTGAACCTACCGAAATATGCATCCAGAACAAGGCACAGTCAACCAAAAGGAGTCATTGATAAGGATGTAAAATCGACAGGCAAAGCAAAACAGCATGAGAAGAAATTAATACAATAACATTAGTTCATTCATATTTCACCAGCCTCCACCTCCATGCACAGATATTACAAAAATACAAATATAAGCACCTTACAAAAGCATATATAAATGGAATTAAGTGACAGAAATCATACTTAAATCAAATTACAATAGATAACAAATTCAACATGTTCAAAACAAAAGAATCAGCAAAAATATGGCCAATAAGTCTCCGCTTGAAAACTACAAAACAGGGACATGCACATTGGCCTAGGCCCATACCCAAAGCATAAACTCCAAGCGAAAGAAAAAGAGAGGCAACTATATATTTTTATTGAATTCCACTTCCATAACTCGTTTTATTATGCAAATTACCAAAACGAAACTCTAATATTGATTGAAAAACAACATTAATAGTACATATGAAACTGTTTTTAAGTTTTATCCAAAAGACAAAGGTGGAAGAAAAAGGGACTCATGAGACTATCATGATAAAATGTACGGCACAATCTATCTTGCACCACAAAAACTAGAGCAGTCAAGAGCTGGTACTGTGCCCTGTTTTAATTTTGCAGCTGATTAAACTTACTGGCTTGCAAACACTAAAGCAAACCACCTCGGCCAGCTGCAATGTAGCAGAACCCCACCCATTTCACAAATTCCATCTATCCATAAAGAGGCTACTATGTCAGAATCAATGGATATATATCTATAAATCCATATCAATTAAATAATCGTGATGTAAAATAAAAATTCCATCCAAACATGATCAGATATGTGAAATTCACATCCCTGTTTACGAGAAAAAGAGAATTCCTAGGATTTGAACCTGCCAAAATATGCATCCAGAACAAAGCATTGTAAACCAAAAGGAGTAATTGGTGAGGAGGAAAAGCAAAACAGCATGAGAAGAAATTAATACAATAACATTAGTTGATTCGTATTTCATATGTCAGTTACAACACAATAATTGTGTGCCAAACTTATTGAAATTTATTGCCAAATGCTAATCAATCAGCAATTCTGTCATAAATTAACTGTTCCTGAGTCCTGACAACATTAGAAAGCATCAAAATCATTGCCATATATAACTGAATTAGAATAGTGAAAATCCCAACAGGGGAGAAGTTATATCAGATTCCAACAATTCATGATATCATTATTTATCAAAATAATACCAATAGAGAAGTCCACCTTCTTTGGTTATTTTTCCTGCAAAATTGTCGAGCATGCAATACATACATGCATGCAAAGAATGAAAGACTCATTTGTATAGTATGCTTTTACATCTTATGCTGCAGCGGATTGCTTCTCCTCATAATCATCAAGATTAAGAGCTTGCAGCAACTTTGGCCAAGATTCTGGGATCCCTCCTGGCAGGTCAAACTCCAACAATTTGCCTCTACTACGGTAAAATTCCTCCACAGGTTGACTCTGCAAGCATGGCAAAAAACAAATTATAGAACTATTAGAAATGAATAGGGATGTTTGACAAAATAATAAGACAAATACCTTTTCATTATATATGCGAAGCCTTTCTTTGACTACTGCTTCAGTATCATCTGCACGAGTAATTAGCTTTGACATACAATGTGCAGGGGGAAGAAGTGGAGCCATGACCATTCCAGGGCGCCCATTCTCACCCTTAACACTAATGGAAGCAACATTAAAATTTCCTCCACATTGATTGCAAATTCTTCTACCTAGGCATTTTGCAAGCAGTGCTTCTTCTTGGAGCTTCAGATTGACCACCAAGTCAATGTCAGTTACCCCTTCCAATATTTCCTGAGCACATAGATTTTAAGCACATTATAAGTAAATTACTATGAAAAATAAAAATGTTTCCAAATCATTCCAACTTCAAGACATGAGGGATTGAAGGGGTTTGAGGACAGAAAATATAGCTACTTATTTGGTTAGTTAGTCTCTAGAAACATCACAGAAAATTACAAGCACATATGCTAATTAATATAAGGACATTAGATGAGTATCAATACTCACTGCTTGCTTTATTGTTCGCGGAAAACCATCAAGAATAAATCCCGATTCACCTTTAGCTTCCCCATCAGCCAGCCTCTTTGACAATAAATTTATGATGATTTCATCTGACACCAATTTACCTTGATTAACAATTTCTGATAGCTGTAAAAAGACCAAAAGATAGAAAATCAGAAAGCAAAATAGATGGCTTGCTAGACATAAAAATAAATATACTAACCTCCTATAATTCATTTGGTTAAAAACTATGCTACTTCTTAATAGTTCCAACTGTGTTATTTACAATTCACACTCAATCAAAAGACACAGGCAGGCTTTCCTTATAATGTAGACACCCAGTAAATAAATTGCAAATATGCAACCCCAACAAAAGAATAATCCTCCACCACTATCAAACAGGTGAATGCAAGAAGATTAAACCTGTATTTGTGAATTGTGTTAAGAACCTAGGAAGAACCACGCCAGAAAAGCTGGATATTGTACTTGGAGAGCCCAAAGACTAATAGATCTCACACTAGAATCTCATACTTGTAAAGTGGGACTCAAGTCCCACACCTTGCAATTGGATCCCAACAGTTTGCTTCCGCGCGGGGAGAGTGAATACACAATGTAAAAACCAGAAGCTAATAACATCTTCTATGTTGATTTTGGTCATCAAACGGCGCAGCATAGTGCACCGATTTGCGAAATCGAAAGTAAACAGAGAGAGAGAGAGAGAGAGAGAGTGGGACCTGAGAAGAAAGGGGACCGTTGGAGGAGAGCTCGTGGCGGACGAGATCGCCGGTGGCGATGTGAGGGACGCCGAGGAGGGTGCAGAGGCGGCTGGCATAGGTGCCTTTTCCGACGCCGGGGCAGCCGAGGAACACCCACTGCACGTTCCTCTCCTTGAGCGGCGGCGCGTGAGATGAGAAAGTAGGCGCCGCGGAGGAGACGCGCTTTACGAGGCGGGTTATGGCCGCCATTGGAAACTCGAAGAGAGGGTGCTGCTGCTAAATGCTAAATATGCTGCTATAGGGTTTATTACAATGCACTTTCTACTTCTAGTTTCTTCTTCTTAAATAAATTCCTAATTTTCTTTCTTTCTTTCTTTTTTACGGAGAATGTCTTTTTCTTTTTATTTATTTTATTTTATTTTTCTTTTAACCTTAATCATTTTTTCTTCTAATTATCATTCACAGAACCCTGGTTAAAACAACGCTGATAAGAGCATCCTTTAAGCATAAGCCAAATTCTTATTTTATATTATATTTTAAAATGATTAATTTAAATATAAATAATAAACTAATACATTTTATTGTATCATGTATAATTAATTTCCTAGTGTGTAAGATTATAAAATTATTTATAAAAAAAAACATGTGTATAAATAGATATTATTATAGGATTATTAGTTTGAAAAAATTTATTATAATTTAAATAGATGTATTACATTTGTTTTAAAATTCAATAAAAAAAAGTATTGAAATGACTATAAAAAAATTAAATTTCATAAAATTGATTTTTTTAAAAGAAATTATAACTCTTTTTCATCAAAACGGTCTTATAAAAATAAATTAGTACTTTTAATTGTGATTTCATACTTGATGTGAGAATCAAATCACAGTTTTTAATTAAAAACTACAACTTACAATGTTGAATCAACAAAAATAATATTGATAGGATTATAAAAATATCATTTAAATTAATTATTTTATCCTTCTAAAAAAATATTTTACAACTAATTATACTCTATAACATATAAATAATTTAAAATATAACAAAAACGTTTCAACATTTAATCTTTTATTATCAATTCATTTGAGATCTAACTTAATCAACGTAAAATGTCTAACTTAATTAACGTAAAATGTTTTTGTTTGTAAGCTTTGAAAAAATATGTGCATCATAAAAAAAAAGCATAAAATAATTTATAGATACAAATTATTTATTAACTTTATTAATGATTAATGTTGAAAATTTAGCAGACAACTTTGAATGGTCTTCCAATCATGTTATTTCCATCCACAAGACAAGTACAATAAAGATATTTCATGATTTTTCTTAAAATTAAAAATAAAATAGAAGTCGATAAAAATAATTAAAATTGAATAATAGTAGAGTTAATAATTTGAAATTTTGAGCAGCTTTCGATATCTGCAAAGGGTAAAATGAGATTATAGAATATGTGTACATTAAAACTATCCTATACCCTTTATATATACCACCATACAAAAGGCACTATGTACTTTTTGTGAATTATTTTTAAAAAATAATAAATGATAAAAATTATATAATAGTGAGTGATTATTAACAATATAAATGGTTATAAAGTGAAATTTATATAAAAATAAATAAAAATTATAATTTGTAAAATGGTAATTATAAAGATAAAATTGTCCAAAAATATGAACACTAAATAAAACAATCACCTTTATTAATAATATATAATAATATATAAAGAAATTACACCTATTTGATATCTATTTTTCAAAGATATCTATATTTCTATTTTATATTTAAAGAAAAAATAACTTTTTCTATAAAAAGTAAAAAATAAAAAAATAATAATAATAAAAAACTATTCACTTTGTTAAATTAAATTACTCTCTTTTTTTTTTTTTTGGAGGCACTTAGTGCCTTTTCTGCATCTAGTTATTAATAGTATAGATATAGTATAAATATAACTCATTGGGCCAGCAGAGAACGTGTTCAATAGCTGCTGAGTGTGAAGATTCGTTGGGTCAATGGCAATTAGATGGGATTAATTTCTAGTCTAATGAGATGGCAGAGGCCCATTGATTTTGCAGTACACAAGGACTGTAGCATTTGTAAGTATAACTTTATGGTTTACAATTTGTTATAGTTGAATAAACTTGCAGAAGTTCTTGTTCAAAATTCAGAAATATCAAATAAGAGTAATTTATCCTCATTGTTCATTTCATTAGAGGTAATTAAAAAAACTGCGTCACTGTTGATTAATTGTGTTTTTAAGTGCAACTGCTTACTGCCATGCATCTTTTACATTATTAGACTTATTTGTGTCCATATGTTGTATCAGAAATTTTGTGCCACAGAATATGCCACGTTTGTTGATTCTCTCGGAGCGCACAAGTTCTAACACATTACACGTCTGAATAGTAATTTGTCGTTTTTTCAACTTGTTATGAAACGAGGGACAAACACAAAGAAGGAAAAGCCTTCACCATTTGTTGTTGTTCTGCTTCCTGAGACCGTGTTCCATGATGGCATGCTCTCCTTCTACAACTCTTGTGTCAAATTCTCTTCACCTTAACAAATCCACAACTCAGTGTCGGTTACATGTTCACCCCACCCTTTCACTAAATCAAAACCTTCGAATATATTCCAAGAACTTTCTCAAACTCTCAACAACTCGATATCATGCAACAAACACACCCTTTGTTGCTGCTTCTGCAGGCAAGTTTTGTCTCATTCTTTAGTCTTTTCTCTTGGTGAAATACAGAAAAAGATAAGTTTCTTAAATAGCATCTAACAAAAATGTATAGTCTGTTATATATCATCACGTAACTAATATGAGATGAATTTAATTAGAATAACGTACCATGTAAATTTATTGTCATGTATCCAATATAAATATTATCGACTATGAAATAATTACTTAATTTAATTGGCAGTATAATTTGCATAAACCTTTAGGTGTATCACAAATTCATGATTAAACTCTTTAAGATTGATTGTTTCAATCGGTGAATGACAACAGGAGTTGAGTCTCCCGTGTTGAGTGAGGATACCACGGGTTTACTGGATTCGGTGAAAGTGTTTGATTTGAATGGAAACGGGATTCCAATTTCAGACTTGTGGAAAGATAGGAAAGCCGTTGTAGCATTTGTATCAACGAAAATCAATTTTGGCTGAAGCGCGATGAAGATTGCTTCTACGTTTTCAGGAAATTGATTTTGGTAAGTGGATATTTGATTTTCCTCATTTGTCCTCATGAAACTTCAATGTTCCCTTTCTCCTCACCTAATTCATAAATGTTCTGATTCTTCTCATCAATTTTATTTTCATCGATTTAGGGTTCTTTCCTCCTTGTGTAATGTTCTGATTCTTCTCATCAATTTTATTTTCACCGATTTAAGATTTTTTCCTCCTTGCGTGTGTACATGTTGCACCTGTGAACCAGAAATTTTATTGGGCATTTATTTTGTACTTCAATGCTAACCAACAACCTCTCCAAGTTGTAACTTTTATTTAAGTTGCATTTTGATGGATTGTGCGTTCATGCTCTATGAATCTGTTGGTGTGGCTGGTATAAAATCTGTTGGTTTGAAAAACTATGAAGCATACGGGATTCCAATTTCAGACTTGTGGAAAGATAGGAAAGCCGTTGTAGCATTTGCACGTCACTTTGGGTGATTGCGATTTTATCATATTTACTGCACAAATTAACTTTCCCTTTAGTAAGATCATAGATGTATCATGTGCTAGTTATTGTTTGAGTTTGTTTAACAATCACTTGTGCTCCTTTTTTTTTTCTCTGTACATTTACAGGTGCGTGTTGTGCCGTAAAAGGGCAGATTATCTTGCATCCAAGAAGGTAAAGTTTTCTGCCGTTGTCATTTTTCTTCTCTCCTGTTCTCTTTTATGAATTTGATTGGATACAAGTTAAATATTTTTTAGGGTTTCCACACCGAAAAAAAAAAAACTTTTTATTTTCAGTAGATAAGTTCTCAAAAATACTTATAAACTTGTATTCAAACAGACTTTAAATTACTATGTTCTTACAAGCTTTCAGCTTGAAGTTTTCGCAAGAGGAATCCTATATCATCTTTCTTATTTCATGGTAAATGTTTCTATTTCACTAAAAGTCTGTTGCCTACTAACATGCATGTGTTCTATCAACAGGATATACTGGATGCATCTGGTGTAGCACTTGTATTGATTGGACCTGGGAGCATTGATCAGGTATATCAGAAGAAAATTTTCTGTCTGTACTAATAGATCAGGTCTGATGGGTTGGATTTATTTTCCTTTTTTGCTGTTGTATCTTATTGTACTGCATGCATCATCTTCTTGACAAGGTTCATTAAACATAAATCCTATCAGAACATGTTTTCATAAGCCATAGTTTTTTAGTGGAAGAGTGTAAGAGATTGCTTATCTGCTTCAATTGGAGTCTGGTTTTGTATTTTTTTGGGTGGGAACACTAATGTTCACGTGATATAATTCTGAGTCTTATGTCTCCAAGTATTGATTTCTGCTTTCTCTTATCATCTGAGCATGAGAATTTGTTGCTAATGGTAATACCATATATTGGTACAGGCAAAAGCCTTTGCTGAGCAATCACAATTTGAAGGAGGTGCTTTTCAGACAACCTTATGCTTCTTCCAATTTTAGTAATTTAGCCATCTTATATCAGCACTTTGACAGGACCCTATTATCTCTTCTAGAAATCTATGCAGACCCCACTCACTCGTCATTCGAGGCCTTAAATTTTGTTTCTGGAGTTTTAACCACATTTACCCCCAATGTAAGTCACAAGCCTCCAGATCCTTTATTAAAAAAAATGCATAAAACACCAGTGGCTGAATGGTCTATGTTCATCAATCGAGATTTTTGTTAACTGAAAAAGAATCTCCCGTGTTAATTTCAGCTGTTACGCTGCAGGCAGGTCTTAAGATAATACAATTATATATGGAAGGCTATCGACAAGATTGGAAGCTTTCATTTGAAAAGGATACTGTTACCAGAGGAGGCTGGTATGTAAATTATCTCACTAGAAGTCTTAAACTATTTGATTATGCTGATTTTTCCATTTTGGTTTGATCTATACCGCTATAAAAAGGATCCTCCTTGATGCCCTCTCTACTTTTTTGTTTTGCCAAACTTATAAATAGGCTCTCCTACTATGAAATCATTGATTTAGGAAAGCAGATACCATTCCAACTTAAGGGCAGTGGTCCATCTATTACACCCTACTCTCTGATAGAAAAGAACTCTGGTTGAACATTTTTTGTTACATCAACTATTGTAGAGGATTATTATTATTGTGGGGATAAAGGTCATCCCATTTTCTGCAAAACCGACAACAAAGCTGCTTGAAGAGAAACTTTATTTGGCCACTGTTGTCTTGCCTGAGTACTTGACACGTGATAATTACTTACAAGACAACAGTTTCCTCAGATAACAAGAATCAGTACACCTGAAGTGTGTTTGTTTCTTGCAAGCTACAGAGGAAAGCTTGCTACCCTGATATTTTAGACGTGTCTCGGATGTCTTCACATGAGGCAATAATTAAATTTGTATATAAGTCCCATGGATTCCGTTGACATTATAGGATTTTGGTCGGGAAAGAAGGAAAAGAGAAAATAAACATTGGATAATGAGATATATTAGATGAATACGGTATTGATGAATTACTGAATAACCACTATTTTACTGATACTAGACTCTTAAAATAAGCCAACAAATTTTAAAATGAAGACCACTCGTAAGATATCTTCCAAGACATTCTAAAATACAATAAAAATGTTGTGATTTTCTAGGCGTTTTAACATATTCTAATCATTTCTCCGGCCAAAAGTTATTGACACTTGACAGGATCATGTTTTCCATTTTATGCATAGCTCATGTTCTCTAACTTTTTCTTCGTATTTGAAATGATGGCAGGAAACAAGGAGGAATTATAGTTGCAGGCCCGGGTAAAAATAACATCTCATACCTTCACAAAGTATGTGCAACCCCTCTGATATGCTCCATTATTTATATAATATATTTTCCTTGGTACTTGTTAGCTTAATTGCAATTACTCACCAAACAGCAGAATATTCATGCCATTTAAACATTTATCTGCTATCATTATGTGAAATATGTAAATGTGAGCAGGACAAAGAAGCAGGGGATGACCCAGAAATCGAAGATATCTTGAAAGCATGTTGCTCTTGAAGAAAGAAGAGAGGAAGCCCTTCTTTCTCTGCCTTATTTATCCTGCTTCATGAAGTGGTACTCACATCATACGGCATTGTACATCATATTTAAGCTGCTGCTTACAGTTAACAGTGGCTTTTCTTTGAGTTTCAATTAAAAGATAGCGTTATTACCCTCCATTTATCCAATTCACAATTTGGAACCTATTACTATGAGGTTCTTAATTTATCTATTCCCTTCCATGTCAAGAGAAGGTGGTTCCTTCTATCCTGTTCTTCCTGGTGATAGAATGGAGAAATAGGCTGCATTACTGTTGTATAATTTTATTTCATTTTCCAATTTGCAATGGAACGGGCTGGACTTTTAAAACATATTTGCTTAATCACTTTCATGATAAAAAACATGTTTAGTATCCAACCCTTTTCACAGCCCCTTTTTTATATTTCAGAGCCCCTTTTTAAGTAAATGTGAGAATTTGGAGCTAATGTTAATTCCACAAACGGAATGCTTCTCAATTGCTCGAGTTTCTCTTAGCCTTGCTTGTGATCATGTATTGACAAACCAGTATGGCAATGGAGAATGACAAGTACAACAGGACAAAAACAGGGAGAATAATTAAGTGCATGATTTGATTCCATGGCACTGGGTATCGTTCATTATGATACAAGCTATTTGATTACAGAAACATGGGCAGCTATACCCGGATACAATATATACAGGTCAATGAGGTCGTTGGGAGAAAAACAAATTGGCATATCTTATCTAATATTTGTACAAAATTCCTATAAGTTCTAGTGGAACTATTTAACGCTTACTTCCGGTGCAACCAACTGTATAATGATTTTTTAGTGACCTTCAACCTTACAAGAACTGCAGGTCTCCTTGTCTGAAACCCCATTTTTGTTGTGGGTAATGCATTCTCTCCTGGTAATGCTTCTATGTTGAGATTTGAAAGGTTGGGGTACTCTAACTTTGCTGTGCTACTTAATGCTACTCTGGTTCTGGCTGGAAGAACTTCAAGCCCCAACTCATTCCTGAGAAGTTTCATTATTGACTCTTGCACTTCTAGTATGTGTTTGGCTGGACTTGCGTCTACTTTAGTAGCTCCTATGATGATCAAGATATCATCATTTACTGGATGTCCTGTGTCACAAATGCCAACTATGAATTATATTTAGTACATGGAACTTCTTTATTTTTTTATTTTTTTTTGGTGTTTCCACCTTTCTAAGTTCATATGAAGATGAATGCTTATGTTGACAAAGACCTTGCAAAATGAGTATGCAACATGGCTTTATGGCATTATTATATATCTAAGATTTCCCGTTCATACCTACACCGTAATTCTCTTTGATCATTCGAAGAACTGCTAGAACAACCAAACGTGCTTCAACCTGTTGACACCGTAGGTTTGATAACAGAAAGTAAGAACCAAGACTTTCCCAAAATCAAATATAAGTTACATAATATTATTTTATTTTCTAAATTTGAGAAGTGACAGAAACCCAGAAAAAATAGAAACAAATGAATTGCTGCAAATCTGTAATTGACAAGAAAAGAAATGCTAGCAATACATTTTATTTTTGGTTGAAATTCATGTATGACTCACTAAATCTGTAAATCACGAGTTCCACACTACATAAGAATGTGTTGAAAAGATAGTATTGCTAGCATTTCAACCAACAAAAATGTAGCTTTAAGCCATGTTAGAGTTGAGACAGACATGGCAAATAACTGAGGAATTTAAAGGCACCTTTGTGAGCCCTTGAACATCAATTGCTAGGATGTAGGCTACCCTCTTTAGCAGGTGAGCTGCAATTTTTTCAAGAAGCAAACTTTGGGGTCTCTCTAATTCAGATTTATTGCAGGAAGAAAATTCTCCTTGCTTCTCTGTGTTATCTTGTATCACTCCTTCACACCACTCCTCAATCAATTCTTCCAGATAGTAGTCATTGGGTTTGTACCTGCAATACATAAAGTTGGATCAGAATCCCCTGTTTTTCCATAGACAATAAGGGATTCCTGTTCCTTTTAAATTCAAGAAGACCCAAAGAGGGTCATGGTATAGGTATCACTTCAGTATAGCATATTATCTCATCTTTAACTTGTGTTGGGCCAATCTCAATCCTAAAAACCCGCTCATGGGATGAAGATTGTCCAAGTTTTTATTAGCTCTACTTTGGCTATATTTATAGATGAGTGGATCTCAACACTCCCTTATGCCGACGTCTAGGGCATGGAGCTTGAAGGACCTTTTTTTATATTGCGTTGGGAAAGCTATGAGGCCAGGTAGATTTTTAGACAGTTGAAGAGGGCCCAGTATCATATATCTATGATAGGCTCTAATTCCATCTTGAATTTGGGCTGAACCTAACTCAACCCAAAAGCTAGCTCATGAAGTGAGGATTTTCCAAGCCTTTATAAGCTCTAATTTGGCCATATATATAAGCAATGTGAATTTGGACTGAACCCAACCCAATCCCAAAAGCTAACTCATGAAGTGAGGATTTCCCAAGCCTTTATAAGCTCTAATTTGGCCATATCTATAATAAATGTGGGATTTCAACATCTCAAACAATTTTTTACCACCAATTCTCTCTAGGAGAAATAATATCTAGAAGCAACAACTTACAATATCAAATCAGGCCTATTATATATAGTAAAGGAATTATATTGAATAGGATCAGCCGATCAGGCATACTAAGGTTAATGTTATCAATGTAGCATCTGTTATATACAGCTTCTTTATGTAAGTGTGTGTGTGCGCATATATAGCTTGAAATAACACGCATATATAACTTGAAATAACACGCCGCTAACGATATTCATTGGCAATACCTATCTAGAAACCATTAGGTAGCGATCCCTCAAACATCCAATGTGTGAAAACAAGTGGCTAACATATGGTTTAATATGGATCAAACAAGTTATACCTAACATGTGATAGATACACAACTTAAAAAAGATAGTGAGTCCAAGTTAACTGTAATGTGAGTAAAGCTAACATACCCTGCCTTACGCATATCCTGGTATATAGCCAGGCATTGTTGCACCTCATGTAGGGAGCCATATTTACTGCGGGCCTTCAGAAGTGTGTTATATGTAACCTGAAAGATAAATAACACAATCAATAGAGACAAATTGATGAAGCATTCTCTGTTATCTTTTCCATAGATCACAAAGTTGTAATTTCAATTATTTTCAGATATGTACTGTATTATGCTCTATTCATTGTCTGTCATTTTATTTTTTCTTCATGAGAAGATATATCAACCATTCTACTTATATTTTACTTGGTTTTTGGTTGTAGAATCTTAGAGCAGCCTCACCTAGTTGCATAGAGTTAGTGGATAGTGCTATTTAAGTTTACCATCTTGTGAATAGATTCATAACATGATAACAACTACAGTCACAAGGCACTCACCCAATTTGGATGTATCTCATAGCTTTTCATTTCTTCATATAATGTTAGTGCATGCATAAAATTCTTACTTTCAACGCAAACCTGTGAACCAGAAGGCAAAATTCCCATATGTCAATGGCCATATAATTTCAAGATGGTGAAAAACGTCCCCTCCAAGTGTACAGATAATTTCATAAAATAAAGTGAGCTCATTTTTACAGAAAAGCTTTGGACCTTAATGGCTGTTGTATATGCAATAACATCAGGTTTAATTCCAGCATCACCCATGGTTTTCAAAATCTGCATGGGAACATAGTCATCTCATCAGAGAACTAAATGCATTATCATGATACGAATAAGCTAAGTAAGTACAATAATCTGTACTCAGTACATATCAATATTCAGGTAGACTATCATTTCTCAGTTTTTATTATGAAGTCTAGTTTTATATGGAATATGATTTCATGGTAATAACAACAACAAAGCTTTATCTTAATTAAAGAATGGTCCCTTAATCAGTTTCCATGGCTGCAGTTTAAACATAACTTGGAAGTTCCACTATCATTTATCTTGCGGTATAACTTCGTCTTGTAATTCTAAATATTTTGCTTTTTAATATTTTGAAGAATTTTCCTAATTCCTGTTCTATACATCAATAGTTTAAATCAATAATATTTTTTCTAGTGGATTTAGCAACCTTACAGATCCAATTGTACCCAACCAAAAAATTAAACATACCGGGCATATTTATGAGATTAACAAATACTTTGTAGCTGTTCTTTTGGTGGGACTAAATAACGCAAGTGATACATAAAAATGTCAAACATGATTAGAAACCCATAGTGTTCCATTTGGCAGTGTTACCAAAAAAACCAATCCTGATACAACTTAACTGAAAGGGCTTCCAAAAAATTATGCAAAAAAAAATTTAGATTAATTATATTTTTACCTCAAAGGCACCCTCCACATTTGCTGATGCTCCACATATATCTATCAAAATTGACCAGCTAATTTGATTTGGGGAAAGACCTACTGCTTTCATCTCTTGGATTAATGCTTTTGCATGGTAGTAATCAGTACCACAGGCCTTAAGTAAAATATTGTATGTTGTTGTAGTTGGTGTAAAAGGGAACCTCTCAGCACAACTCAAGATGTGCGAATTAGAAATGCCATTTGGCATAGTAGTCACATTATGCATGCGTCCCTGCCCTATATTGCTATTGTAGCCTCCACCAAATGACCCTAACATTTTTTTTCCCTTCCAAGAATGGAAAAAGCGAAAAGCCCTGTCATATTGGCAAGCTTCAACGCATGCATTTAAAATGATGTTGAAACACTGTGTATTAGGTTCGCAGCCTGCCAAAAGCATTTCTTCAAATAACTGAATTGCCTGCTCTACAAGCCCTGCATGTGCACAGGCATTGATTAACGATGACCATGCAACAGTATTAAGAGAAACACCAGCAGACAGCATGTCTTCCTTGATTTTTAGAGCCATCTGCCACAATTTCACATCTGCAAATACCTGAAATTGGTATTTGTCAGGAGACACCGAATATTTTGTACCATAATATGAATGTGTTACATATTACTTCACTGAAGAGAGGTGAAGGAGAAGGTTGTAGGTACCATGAGATGTCAATGAAATTATGGTGACTCTGTATCTATAGTAATATACCTTTATAATTGTGCTGTAGGTAAAGACATCTAATTTTATCTGTCCCTCTGATTCCAAATGCTTAAGATCCCTATAAATGTCTTGAGCCAGATCAACTCTTCCAGCAACACAGCATGCTTTGAGTAGGATGTTATAAGATGTCATATCTGGTTTTAAACCAAGGTTCTGGATTTGTAGAAGGAATTTAGCCAATATGCAGTATTTGCTCAGATGAAGAAAAACTTTAATGCTCCTGCCAACTATTGGCATGAAAATGAAAGCATATGCTGTCAATTAATATGTGTGTATGCATGTGACAATGATACTTTGGGGAAGCACGGATTACCTGCATATTTTGATATAGATTTAATGTGTAGCTAAGATCACGGGCATTCGCATTCATGAGACTGTTGAACACATATATATTTGGAGTGATCTTCTGATTAAGCAAATCCTGCACCAAAAAGTGTGCAAGTGAATGCTAACACGCATATGAAAAGTAAATAAATAATGCAAAAGCTTGTATCGTGCTTGTCAGTTAACATTATGACCACTAGTATGGTATTTATATTTCAGAACAATCAAATTTCATATTTTGAAATTCTAAGACAAAAATTCGAGGAGACAAGTGAAGCCAAAAATACTAAGTATGGAAAACATAATTAAAAATTAATTACAGTTTCTGTATCCCTAGCCTGAGGAGATCATCTCTCTCCCATCATTAATACTTTTTTTCTTTTTGAGAAATTTATGGGCTGTGCCTGTGAAGAGAAACTAAAAAAGTTTTAACTAGATAGCCTGTCCCCATATTACCAAGTATGCAGTATGAGTACACAGTTCATGTATGCATGCAGTTCATCATTTTTTATAGGTTTAATACATCAGTTAGTCCATAAACATTTTGAGAATTTTTAACTAGGTCCCTAAACTAAAAAATTTGTAATTGGGTCATTCATCTTTTTATATTTTTGTAATTTAGTCCTCGGAATTAGATGTCTATGTACAATCTGTGAAATTTAACACAATATGTCTTATATCCTCATAATTGGACAGCCACATCAGATTATTCTTCCATGTTACCATCCATGTATATCAGTTTTTAACCCCTACCCGTTAAAATTCTCATAATCTCTCAAGTCACTAATCCCCAAACTCTTAATCCCTAATCTCTAGAAAGGTAAACCAAATGGTGAAGGGTAACTAGGTAAAGAATAAAGAAGATTACGGAGAAGAAAGTGTAAGAGATAAAACCAATGAAGAAGGTGAAGAGTGTATGCAAACAGTGAAGTGAAAGGGAGAGACGATGCAAATGAAGGAGAAGAGTGGATTCTGAAATCCTAAATCATTTTTTTTTGTTTATATTCCACCTCACATTCCATGTCAGCACAAAAAACAAAGGACTGACGGAAATTATGCTTAGGGCCTAAATTACAAAAATATTAAAAAATGGATGACTTAATTACAATTTTTTAGTTTAGGGACCTAATTGAAAATTTTAAAAAAAGATCAGACATATCACAAAACTTTCTTCAAAGAGGATCCAGTACATGATACGTGGTACAGTAAACTCTATATGGGGTGCACAGAGTTACTGAGAGAATTCTGTGACTATGGACTATTCGATAAACCTTTATGCTATAGTAAAGTATTTGTGTGTCAAATTCACTAATGGTGTAAAAGCTTAATCACTGAGTCCAAAATAAATCCAGACAAAAAAATATAATATAATTTGGTCTCTATGTGCAAAGAGAAGTTTGATATGTTCGATACACATTTTTCAAACTATAAGCCTTAAGCCATTTTTTGTGGCTATAACTGCAGTACAAGTTGTTTAATCAATAATGCAACTCTCTATCCTTCTCTTCCCATTTCCCATCCAACAGGATTCTTGTGCCTGAATGCTGCTTTTTACTGCTTCATATTCAACTAAAAATGGTGATTGGAGAGGTTAAAATTTATGAGTAGGTATCAATAAAATAATCCTTATTGGGTAACACCATTGTACTAAAAGATTATCTGTACTACAATCTCACAACCAATTAGTTTCATAATTCTAAAAGCTTTTAATTGAAAATGTCAATTAATCCAACGCTGTGCTTGTATTCATAAAGATAGCCCCAATTTAATATAACTATGAATAAACATTAAGAGAATAAGAGCAAAAGAGCGCATAAACTTGGAGGTTGTAAGCAAATGGCATTTGTGTCATAACAACTACACCTAGGAATATAAAATAATATAATAGAACCCATAACTCTTTGAATAGGTCTTTAGCAAGCAAGTTGAAGTTAGTCAATGTAAATTGCCTCTGAAAATACCTCATATATGTACCTAGATTTCCTGTAATCACCACAAAGACCACAAGCATCAATTATTGCCCGGTATATGTACATATTGGGAGTATCCAGGTTTTTCTTTGATGCCTCGTACGCTTTCAAAGCAGAAACTAAATCCCTCCTTTTGCCAAATTCTGATATAATATTGCAGAACAATATATGTGCATGGGGAAGAAGACATGCATACCTGAAAGATGTGATACTATCATATAAAAGCTGATCATATACAGACAATCAACATAACTATTCAGAATACCAAAGTAAGCACTAGTTTAGAAATTAAAAATCATCATGACAAAAGAGATCATAAAGAGAAATATACATTTAAAATCAGAGATAACACATTTTAATGGACTGAATAAATATGTTTAACAAATAGAAACAATGTGTCTTTTACAACAGTATAAAACCATACCTCACAGCTAAAATTGGGTTTCGACTAAGAACACATTGTTTAATTATGTCAGACGGATGAACAAGTCCCCTGATTGATAACTGAAAACCTGAAGGATGAAATTAATGAGTTCTAGTTTATCACAAGTCACAACAAAGTCAAACATTAGGAAGCTGTTACATGCTTAAGATGCCCTCTCCCCTAAAAATAGTTTAGTCAATGAATACATAGCATAAATGTTAGATTCATGTATAAAAAGAAAAAGAAAATAGTAAACACCCAATAGAACTGTTTCCTAATAAGAATAGTTAATTATAACAATTAAATTTACATGAATAATTCGGATTTATGTATTTAAATATAAATCACACTGATATTTAATTCTCATGAAATTTATAATTAAATGAATAAATAATATATGGTGTAAAGATATTTTATAGTATCGTCTTCTTTTTTGTTAGCTCCAAGAATATCAGCTCAACTGATAGTCAGAAACTAATTCCTTCGCCGAAATAGACATTGTCTCTTCCAACAAAGTCTTTTCCAAACACATCAAACATTTGAAACCCAACTACCTAACAATTGTGCTGAACTCGTTAGCTTTTATAATAATTACTTTAAAAATCATATAAAAACAAATTCATTATTGCTTCAGAGCGGAGCATAACAAACTTCTAAGCATGAGAATTAAACCATGGACCTACATTACAAATAGTAAAAAGAAAAAAAGAAAATGGTGACAAAAAAATTACGTGAGAGAACCTCCATGAGTTCAACAGCCTCCTCAACGTGTCCGCACGTGACCAAGCGGCAACACTCCTTGGCAATGGCATCAGAGCCATGGAGATGAGGAGACAAGGAAATCCCGCGAGCCTGCACTTTGTTGAGAGCGTCAATCACAGTCCGAACGTTCTTCTCTCGAACTCCCAGCAGAACCACCTTGGCCAGAAGCTCGGCGTCGACGGCGGAATCGAATGCGTCCTCGGCGAGCGTTTCGAATTGGTGAACGAGGTTGCTGGAGGGAGCATGGTGGCTGAGAGAGAGGGGGGCGCAGGAAACGGCGGAAGAGGAAGAGAAAGGAGCGAGCTTTGGGAGGGAAGGCTTGTGGGGTTTGATGGGGTGGCGGTGTTGGGGGTTGGGTGGAGGAGTTACGACGGAGGAGCCAAGGATGACGAAATCTCTCATTGTTTATTATGTGGCCAAGCGTGGACTGTGGAGTGTGGAGTGTGAAGAGTGGGGTTTATATGGGTTTTGGATTTTGGATTGGATTGGATATGAAAGGCTAATGTTCAATTCAACACCCACCAAATCCTTTCACTTTTACCCAACTCCATATTTTTTTAGTTTGCCCTTTTATTTTATGTATGTATGGTTGGAAAATTGATAACTTATTCAAGAGAGAAAATATCTAATTTGTTACTTTAGCAAGCCGGGTAAAGTTGAATACAATTTTAGTTTGTTGATGTCCCACTTTTTTAACGTACTTGTTGGGTTCAAATTGATTAGTTGAGAAACAAAATTAAATGATAACGATGTAATTTAATTATAGAATGAAATATTGAATTATTTGTTAGAAGCATGCACTTTAACTATTATTGTGAGAAACACTTTATACCTTAATTTCAATTCTTTAATAATTTTTTTGAAGTTAAATCATATAATCTTGTTTATTAACTTTTGTTATCGTTACATATTCAATCTTTATAGGAGATAAAATAATATTTTATGTACAACATCCATCTAATATTTATAATTTTAATAGTAAATATTTAACTAGTAATTATTTTTTCCTTGATCAAACTCACCTCCATTTTGGTGATCTACTTGGTAATAACAACCAAGTAGCAATAAAGAGTGTATTTGTAAAAGCATTTTGATGTCTAAGTAAGTCTATGTGTGAACAAACTATACAATAGAGATATCCTAACTTTACCTAAAAGATTGTTAATAGATATTAACATCAAGTCAATTTTAAAGATCAAAGATCATGTGAGACTAAAGAAATTTTGAAGTTAATGAATTTTAAAGTTTAACTTTTATGATTGAAAATATGTAAATTAACCTTAGTATGATAATTATAAGAGTTTGCATGTGTTAAGCTCTTAGAAAATTTAGTAAAAAAAAACTCTCTAAAATTATATTCATAATTGAAAATTGCAAACACACGTTGATAACTACTTGGCATAACCTTTTCCATTCTTACACTCAACTTATAAACCTTGCTCAAAAGCATTATATCGTAAACTAACTCGCATTCAATAACATTATAATAAACCTGCCTTGACAATATAAATTTTTCTTAATAACATCGAGGAACTTGCATCAAGCACCTCTTGTGTGTGTCTTTCTATCCTCCATGAGTTTGTGAAAAGCAGAAGAGAAAAAATATAATAACTCTTTTAAGTGTTATCTTTGACATGAGAATTAGGCCATATGGGACAAGGGGTATGATTATAAAAGATTTACTTAAGTAAATAAATAAAATCAAATTTTGAAAGTTAAATGAGTTGAAAAATGTCAACTTTGAAGGGGTCAACTAAACTTTCAACTAATTTTGTCAAAGGAAATAACATTTCCCTAATGATAAACATATATTTTGCACTTTTATAACTGACTTTCATGTTATTTTTGTCCATAACTCTTTGATTTTCTTATCACATCATATATCATATTTATCACTTTTTTTCTTCATTTTTCTTGCTATTTCTGACCCCTTTATCTAGTCATCCCAGCCCACAAAAAATAAAGTAAACATTTAACATTTTTATTTGGATAAAAATATAAAAAAAAATAAAAGGAAAAAAGAGGTTTTTTTAAATGACACACACTTTGGTATAGTTTTTAATTGAATACTAACATCCCTTATTTATTTATCTAAATAACACACAATCCTTATATAAAATAACATTATTCATGTACTATTAAAAAAGAATAAATTATTATTGTAAATGTCAATAATTAAATGATACTTATTCTTTCACTCAATTTTAACTCCAAAATTATGAGTTGAAAAGCTTTTAAGTTTTTTAACAAAGTAATAATTATATTTGTAAACTGCAATATTTGAATTAGATTTCAACTTGATTAAACTTTATTTAAATAGGTTGATTTGTAATCGATTGACTGATTTTATTCTGTTATCCAATCACAAACTATCAATTATGATAAGTTGTTAATTTCTATAATAAACAAATAAGTAAAAAGTCATATCCAATTTATTGATGTAAAACTATTTTACACTGTTATATTTTTCTAACTTTTGTTTGGCTCTCGTTTGGTCAGAAACAAAGGATTGGGATGAAGAGACCTTAGAGAAGGTAGTGGAGTCGAAGAAGACTGAGTATAATCAGAACAAACCAACTGACATAGTAAGGATCTGCATAAATTTGGTTTCCTTGCCTTTTTCATGGATGTAGTTCCACCATATAAGTAACCTGGTGAATGCAAATGTGAGCCATAATATGCTCGGTATTCAATCTGTTTAGTGAGAGAAAATGATGTCCGAGATTTAACTTCTTCAATTTCCAGACTGGCGTGCTTGTTTGTGTCATTTATATACCCTTTTTTATATAGTGAAATATCAAATAAAGTTGTAAACTATTTTGGTTTTGCTGTGTTGGACATGGGTGTACTGTTAGTCTCTGTTTTTTTGGGCGGTCTGTTGGAACTTGGGTTATGGCAGGGTTTGGCTCACCCAATTTCATAACCCTGTCACACGTGACACACGTGATGTAGACAACATGCCTCTCAAATTATACAAATACAATACTAACAACCATGGTTAGATCTGCATTGTCTAAAACAACCCAGGAAGACCAGCACTTCGCTTTGTAGTTGGTAAACTTTTGCTTGTTTCAGAACACATTGAAATGGAATATAATGTATCTGAAATGAGTTCCAGATAATGAAAGGATGAAGATTCTTGAAATAACAACTGAACTTACATTTATTATTTGCATCTAGGTTGCTAACAATAACATTGCCTGCTAGAAAGAGTCCAGGGATGAATGTGTTTTCCTTTGGTCATGGAACTATATCATGAATTTTAGTCAGTTGAAACCTTCTTTCTTCTCCATTCAGAACAGTAGTTGTTGTACTATTATCTATATACATTTTGAAACATATATAGAGGATGATTGTTTTAGGGGTGGGTGATGGCTTCTAGGCCTAGCTCTCTTATCTCACTTCTTTTGCTATATTGAATGCACTGCTAAAATATTTGTTCAGATTTGAACTATTTGAGTGCTGCATCTATATTTATTTATTGTGTATTTTCAACGGGGATTAACAGCAAGAAACCCGTAATTGTATAACCTTAAAAACGGGGAATAAAAGAAATCAGAGACAAGTCTAACGTTATGTTTTAGTACGTGAAATCGTATTTCCACTGCATCGGATTAACATTCTCATATTTGTCAGCAAAAAAACATGGAATTGTGATTCCGACATGTGTTTGGAACAACCTTTTCGGTGGAAGATAAACACTTACTTTTTAAAAGCTTCCATGAAGTTGACAAAAATAAGTTATTATTTCCTCAAAATAAACTGAACCAAATATTCATAAAACTGGGCATTACAATTTCTATAAAAGAGGTGGGATACCGGGATTGGTGGAGATTTCATGCTCTATGAAATGAGAATTAAAATTCTTATCCTTTCACCGCAAATAATTTTTGTTTTTCTATTACAGATATTTATGTCATTTACATAGACTGGTTCTATTCAGCATTGCAGTTTCCATTCCATTCTAATTCTATTCACATTATATGGAATCCCTGTTCGAATGATTAAACGTGACTTAAGAACAAAGGATTCGAAACAGGATAGTATGTTTTCCTGTAAGGTGCTAAGCCAGCAGAACCAACTAACACACTGGATGGTTAGATAAGACGGGAGCTTCTACAGTGATCCAAAAATATTAGGGACCACAAGACTGTCCATTTTTGTATTATAAAATATTAGTCTTATTAATTAATATAAAACAGATGAATCTAATTCAAATGGTCCTAAAATTTAGGACCATTGACGCTAGAAAGGATATGATACAAAATGATTGTATACAAATAAATACATAGAGATATTGATGTGACATGGAAAATCTCAATCTTTAATTTCAATCTTTTTAATTATATTAGCAGAAAAAGATTACAGGTTTTATAATTATCACATGTTGAATTGGATTGAATTGCATTTGCTGCAATTATAGGGGATTCATTTTCTTGCTTTAACGATCACTCGAACAGAGAAGCAAAGTTTTTAATAAGACCTGAAAAAAAGGGTGTCAATATTGTAGTGTTGTACTATTGAGAAGGGTATACAGGCCTAACGGGAATTCTTTTGGTGAAGGAGACGTGAAGGCAATTGATGATAAATCTATGGTGTGGACATGAAACATTGGTGCACAAGGATCAGTCGGAAGTGTGCTGAACCTAGTGTTGGTTTTTCAATCCTTCCTTTTTCCACGAGTCACAATTTTATGAATTCTGAGATATAACCTCAGGCGAAACAGTGGGACATGCTGGCATCAATTATCAGGGTGCAGTTCTTGTCCTAAGGCCAAATTCTTAATATCAATTGGCTTTAGGATAGATTTTAGCATGGTGCCAATTTGCGTTGTTTTTGTGTTTTGTGGAGGGAAATCTATCGTATCGTATCCACAATTTCTGTTATGCATCTGAGAAGTGTGCTAAAATGGAATGTCTTAAATTATTTGGGTACAATTTATATATCAGATAAACAACATCATTTAATAACATTTGTTTTTAAGATAGGCATCATGTTAATAAATTCGTCCATTCATAATACTTGGACACGCAAGTCTAAAGTCTCGTTATTATCAATGTCATCATGTCCTCAAGCTGAAATACAGAGTCTTTATCTTAGTTTGTCCTATAGTGCGTTATAAGGAATGATAGAGAGCGAAGTGTATAAAATAAACTTCGTTAAGGGAGTTGCCGGGGAGGAAAGAGTACCTGTTTATCATCGAAACTTTTTTGATCTTTTAAGGTGCTCATTGTGCCAATTTGAAAATCATAATATGCTTGTGAGGCTATTTATAATCTCAACAAAATATATTCGTAAAATATTAGTGTCGTACGAGCTGAAAAGTTTTTCTGCATTCTCACCCACAATAAAATTATCACTGTTAATAGAATATTTATTAGATAAATTTCACATGAACTTCACTAAGCAACTTGGGCTCACTCTCTGTTACTGAGACCTTCATAGACTTTCCTACTAATTAGCTAACATTTCTTATTACTCCAACTGTAAAATACTTTATGTAACCAACAATTGTTGAATTTTTTTCTCAAAATAATATTTTTTTAAAAAAAATTACCAAAAAAACATCTATTACACATTATTTACCCAAATAGACTTCTTTATTGTTCACACTCAAAATTCGATTCCGGGAAACCAAATTCTGAGTAGTGTTTAATTTTTATTTTTTTTTAGTTTTGGACTCACTAATGTGTCAATTTTGCAACTGGAATGGATCGTTCTCCTTTAAGAACGGCCCGTTCTGATCCATTCATCATGTATATATTTTTTATCTAGAACGGACCGTTCTGATTGCAGAATGACCCGTTCTGAATCCAGTTTTCCTCTTTCTCAGAAATTAAAATGCAAAAAAAAAAAATTTTAAAAAATAACATTGCTCAGAATTCGGTTCCCGGTTCCCCGGGGAACCGAATTCTGAGTGTTGAACAGGAAAGATGTCTATTTGGGTAAATAATGTGTAATATATGTTTTTTTTGGTAATTTTTAAAAAAATATTATTTCAGAAAAAAAATTCAACAATTGTTCACCAAGCTTCTTGAAGCCAATTTGTTAATACAAAAACTCGGTCCTTGATATTAGCCCTTGATTTGATGAAGCTACTGTTATCTATTATTTAAGTCTTAATGTTTGCATGATAATGATTAAATTTTGAAATATAATTTCTTAATTGGAAAAGTTCTCTCATAAGGTTAAGAAAAGATTATTTCTTTTAAATAGGTTAAACAAATAAGACAATTGTTAATATGGCAAAAGAACTATATGCTATATAGAGATGCGATGATAGTTATCATTCCTAAATCCTAACACAGCTGGCAGAGTCACCACCTGCCCTTATTGCAACCAAGACAAAAAGAAAGGGATAAATTCATCAAAAGTGAAACTAAGCTAACAAGGGAAGGGAATTGATTGATAAAAAGTAACAGATATCAAGTCAATCAATTAATTAACCTACAACCAATTACTTAAACATGTTTTAATATAAGTTTAAATTTTTTTTACCGAAAACTAAAAAAAAAATGAATAAGGAAACTCTCAAAAAAGTACTTTTAGTTTGGATCGAACTAGCATATAAACCTAATTCACTAATTATCATTTACTAGTCTATCAACATTTATTTTGTCTTGACTTTTCAAGAATTATCCCTGAAAAAAAAAATGGTTCAAGCAAGCACATATGTATGAAAGTCAGATGTAAATATGTTTGGATATGGAAAGCTAATGACACATCCGAGGAAGAAATTTACCTCAACTGGGTGAAGCAACATAACTAGAGAAGAAAAGGGAGAAGCCATCAACAACATTAGTAAAGGATTTACATTTTCTGTGGAAACAATAAAAGAGGTCACTTGATTGGTGCAAGAATGGTGTACAACAAAAGAAATGTGACAATTATAACTGCACCCCCTAGAGTGAAAGTGGGACTATTCCAGAACTTGAGGTTTGATCTCTCTGTTCTCTTGATAGGATCAACCTCCTCAGAAAGTGGGAACTCTGAACGCCTAGGGTTCCAGCTCACATACTTATCTGAAAATTGGGAAAAGGGTTTTTTCCCCCCTTGCTTTTTGAATTTTGACCATGCCTTGTCCCAGTCTGTTGAAGATTTATCACCTGAACGTTTAAGGAACAATTATGATAAGTATTCCTGAGTCCTACACTTTGTTTTGAAATGGCTGAAAAATAGATTGGATACATTGGAAGCAATAAAAATTTAAAGGGAAAAGTTAGTTTACTGTATTCAATAATAAGAATTGTTCTCCATTTAATTTGTTCTCACTTCTCAGTTTGATATGCAACAATTTAGATTAAAAAATATTTAAATAAAAGTGATAGTAAACTAAACACATTCAAATGGTGAGTAACTTTGTAAAGTTATACTAAATTACTAATGTATGGTGCTTTTCAGGAATGTGTTAGAAAACACCTCCCATTTTATGGGAACTATAAGCACCGACAAGAGCAGGGTAATCGGATCCGTGAAATCAGCATTAAATAAATTCATAAGAAGACAAATACTAGAACACGTAAACACATAAGATAATTATAGAAAAATGGTAATTGTAGAGTGATACCCTTGTTATTGTTATCGCCGTTTCGTTGAGATTCCTTGGAACAGAGAAGCTTGAAGGGAGAATAAGAAGAAAATGATGAGGAGGAATGGGATCGGGAAGAAGAGAAACGATGTTTTGTAAAAGTAAAAGTTGGTAATGTAAAAGAAACATCCATTAGCATGCAAATGGATATGAAGATTCCAAATTGGAACAATGTTGCGTTGGTTTTGATGGAACCCAAGGAAAGGAAAAGGATCATCACCTGTTTCTTATCCTTTGTTGCCGCTTATTTCGATCTCCAAATTCACAACCTCGTCACACGTGTCCTTCCTTGTCTGCCTCAACCTCCACCTTACAATCACTTTAGTCGGTAAAATTTAATATTTATTATCTTTTGTTACGTCAATGTGTAATTTTATTGGTTAAAAATCTAATTTGGTCCCTTATGATATTTTAAGGTTTTAATTTAGTCTTATTTTAATTTTTTGTTTCAACTTAATTTTTAATAATTTAAATTATTGTAATATCGAATTTCTGTCTAAATTTCTTTAACGTTATTTGGGTATTTTTCACGTGGAAAAAAATAAAAATGTGATAATTTTCCACGTGTCAAGGGTCTTATATTTATGCCATGTGTTAATTTTGCATTTGAAACAGTTCGTTCTGAAACCGGAACGGTCTGTTCTGTTTAAACTCGTGTTAATTGTGCATTTAGAAGATGGTTCAAGAATGAGTCGTTCTACTTTCAGAATAGGGTTTTCTACATGCATTAAAGAAGGAGGAGGAAACCTTGCCACCTACGCATCTACGTGGCATCCACGTCGTCCACATTTATCACCTTTTGTAAAATTTGGAAGGAAGTCCCATATTGATGTGTTTTTAAATTATTAAAGACTAAATTGAAATAAAAAATAAAGTGGGACCAAATTATAATTTTTAATTATTATGAGAGACCAAATTAGGCTTGTAGCCAATTTTATTCTAACCAAACGATAACTTTATATTTGTGTTATAAATTTCCACTATTTTAAAAATAATATATAATCCTTCCGTTTAAAATAATTGTACAAAAATGAAAAATTTATCCTAAAATATTAGTCATTTTAACTTTTTAATATAATATTATTTTTTATTTAAACTCTAATAATAATGTTCTCTATTTTCTATTTATTATTTTTACAAAATTAAATAACATTGATATAGTAAAATTATCATTTTCTCATTTATTTATTATTTTCATGTATTTTATTTTTTAAATTATTTTTAATTAAATTATTTTTTAATTAATAAATTTTTAATAAAAACGGAACATAATAAAATATATTCAAGTTACTACTAAACAAGTAAACATTTTCATTTGTTAGATTAGTTTTTACGATTTTTATAATAAAAAATTTAATTTAAATGTTTATATTTATCTTTCAATTTGTACAGGAAAATAATATTTTAAATAATTTTTTATTTTTATATATGTTTTACAAAAATATAAACAATAGGGTCCATTTCATTAATGTTCAATTCTTTGAGTAAGGATAAAAGATATAACATTCTGAGCCAGATAGATAGAGAGACTTGATAAAATAAACAAGATGTAGACTTTTTGCATCTAAACAAAAAGATCATATGAAGTTTTATTATTTCCTAAGATTAGTTTTTCCCACGGCAATGAAAGCCTCCTCCTGAAGGGGTTAGAGCCATTAGTGAGATACCACTATGGAAAAACTGCAATTCTAACTTTATACCAGAACCTATAGGCCAAAGGACAGTCTCAAGAAGATAATTTTTATGGAGTGTAGGTCTCACCAAAGGTAATGAAAGTGTGCAAAAGTTTCCTCATATTAGACAAAGATTGGCCCTGTTAATTTTAGGGTTGAGGGTTTCCTCATATATTATTCTACATTATTATTTGTATGTCAAATTTTTAGTGACATGCGTAATTATTTCCTTTATATGATTAGTTTTCTAGATTTGACCATGACATTTTGAATTGCATCTTCACGTGTGGTTTTAAATATTGTTAATAATCAGATAAGTGAAAAAAATTATTTTTATTTTGATAAAATAACAATTATCTAATTTATTACATATTTAATTTTATATACTTGATGCGTAAGTTAAAAGGTGTTTGATATAAATATTTAAATAATGCTCAATTGCTTAGAAAAAAATAAAATGTTAAATAATTTCTTACTTTAATATAATAAATATTTTAAAAAAAGTGTTTTTATTTCCTTAATCTATACACCTAATTAAAGGTATCAAACTGGTCAATCTAACTCAACTTGTTAAAAAAATGGATTGAGTTAAGTCGGACTCATTTTTTAATTGAGTTAAAAATTATAATCCAACACAATCTATGGTGGTTGTGGATTAAATTGGGTTGATGTGTTAATCTACTAGAAAAAATTATAAATTATTTTTATTTTATGTATTTTTTTCAATTTTATGATAAATATAATGAAAAAAGGATAAAATCATTATAAAAGTAATAATTAATCAAATAATTCAAATGTTCTATAAGACATGTACTTAATAAGTTCATCAAATACAATAAAATTAAGTTTATCAACGAGATTAAAATAAGTCTAAAATGCAACCACAAATAAGTTAATCAACAATCAACATGTCAGTAGAGTATTGTATTCAGTCTTCTCAAGTAATATCTCAAGTTAAAGTTTGGTGTATGAAAAAAAGAACGCAGTTCGAAGGGGAGAATCCACAAAAATGACTAATCAAGTTTCTTGATGAAGATAAGTCATTGGCGAAACTTGTGTAGATATTTAATATCAATAATAAAATTACCTAAAAAAAGTAGTCAACAATAATTAAATAAATACACAATGTAATACATAAATGTCTTAATAACCAAATGAACATAAGTCAATGTCGATACTCAATTGGTAAAATAAAAGAAAATACAAGTTCATCCAATGGATTAATTCAATAAATCAACCCAATCCAATATATGTTATTTGGCTCAACAATTTAAGTTATGTAAGTCAATCTGTTTAATTTATTTTGACATCCTACACCTAACGTATAAAAAAATGTTACTCAATTGGAACTGCTACAGTATCCATGAAAACGGAAGGATTTTGGTACATCACATTATGTGAATAAATAAATTTTAAAAAATAAATTCAAAACAACATAAATTTTAAATTAAAAATTTGTATAAAATAAATCAATCAAAAAGACTAATTCAAAACAAAATAATCAAAAGGTCAATTTTCATAAAAATAAATTAAAAACAAAAAATTATAATAATATTATAAAAACATTAAAATAAAAATAAATAAATAATATAACTGAAAAACTAATTTATACTATAAATTTAAAAAAGTTATCATCAAAGAAAAACTAAAACATATCATCAAAGAAAAACTAAAACATATTAACAAAATATTAATATTAAACTTTTTAAATATAATAGATGTTATATATAAAATATAAATTAAAAAATATAAAAATAATATAAAGATACGGATAAATTATTAAAAATATTAAATTAAAATTAAAAAAACAAGTAATTACAAAAATAAAAATAAAAATAAAATGACTGTTGGTATCCCATAATTATAGTGAGTACCATAGAATTTCTCTTAACAAAATATAAGAAATACTAATAAGTGTTGTTTACAATAACTAACATGTCATCAGTATTTTAAGTAAAATTTTGAATTTAAATGTGAATTAAAAAATTGATTAGAAAGAAGAAGAAAAAACTTCACTGAAGAAAAAAAAAAGAAAAAGAAAAAGTGGTAGCTAGAGTATTGTTTATTTTATCGCATGAATAAAAAACGTTGTTTAAAAATTTCATATTAAATGATGTATGAAATATTGGTAACAAAGGTTTTGCCGCGGCTTCTACCAGCGAACCAGAAAGACAAGCACGTGAGTTTGAACAGGTTTTGTGGTTCCTAACACCAATCTTTCAAGTTTCATGGTCGGTGTGACCCACTACTTGTTTTCTTTCACTATCATTTCCTTATGTTCACAAAACATTGCCCCCTATCTGTCCCTTCTTTTCCTATACCAACTACCACTTCCCTTCTTTAATCCTTCTCTTTGTCTATTATACCATCCACAATCTATTTAGCCGCCAAACTACTCCACACCATATAACCAACCATCTATTCATATCATCCTTCTTTTAATCTAGGCGAAACCATATATATACACACAACTTTATATATATACTGACAACAATAACATGTAAATCTATAATATTTTTGCAAACTAGTCTAACTTTCTATCACTTAAATAAGAATATTATATATAAATATTTATAACATAAAAAATAGATATATGATTTAATTAAAAATAACATGTTTTATTACATCAAACAGATAATATAATGTTAACAAATCTTAAAAAGACTAATTATTTTTCATTTAAATTACTTTTATGCAATTATTTATTACAAAACACTATCTAAACAATTTTGAGAATTGTGGTGTTTCTCTAAACTAGAATAATCAAAATAAAACATTTTTTCTTAGAGATTAAAATCAAACTTGAAATTTTATAGAGATCAAAATCATATTTTACTTTTTAAATGAATATAATACATGCAAAAAAAAACTAATAATAAAGATAATATGACTTTATAATGATATCACATTTTATTTAAATATAAAAATATAAAATAATAATTTTAATTTTTAAATAATATAAAAAATTATAAAAACATCATACAATTAATTATATATATTAAATTTTTGAATCTCTTTTAACTATGAGTTCTAAGCCGTTGCACTTTTAGATCAAGCTTAGAATCAACTTTGATAAAACCTATGATATCATAAATGTTGTTCTTTAATTTGAATTAGAACTTTAAGGTAATATGCGTAATAAATTATTTTATTAATTATGTTGTTTTTTCTTTACATCATTAATTAAGTTGTTAAATTGAATTGAATTTGGTTTGTGGCGTGTTGGAAGAAAAGAAATTTATATTTACACAAGTGGAAGAATTAAAGCGATGATAGTGCTTTTGGGGTGGGCCAATGATATGAGAGGATGAAAATGGACGTGATGAAAGTTTGGTTTTGTGGCACTGACATTAACAACTGTGCACCTCATTTGATAACCACACAATCTTGCCCGCCATTCCTTTTTTATTTTTTTTATTATATTTATTATTTTTTTGGTATGAACTATAGCAAGTCTTTGAAGCTGTAAATCAATGGCAATGGCACCTTCAACTCCCACTAGCGGGTCTGGCAAGAAGGTTAGAAAGCCTTATACTATAACCAAGTCTAGGGAGAGCTGGTCTGAGGAAGAGCATGACAAATTTCTTGAAGCTCTTCAACTGTGAGTAGTTCATAATTCATAACTATAATAATCACGTATTGTTTATTTGTTTTTATTCTAGATTCAGTTTCATTCTCTTATTATGTTGATTCTGTTCGAATTTTGGACACAAACGGTACACAATTTAACAAATTTGTTGCTCATCTTTCTGGTCTGGAGGGTTTGGGGGCACTTTCCTCCACAAGTTTATTTTATTTTATTTTAATTTTTTCCTTAATATAATGAATATTGTCTCTACTAAATTATTATTTGAGTATTGTTCCCACAGTTTCAAATTCCAGATCCCTCATTGAAAATTGACTTTTTCTGTTCTTGCTATACAGATTTGACAGAGATTGGAAGAAAATTGAAGATTTTGTTGGTTCAAAAACGGTTATCCAGGTTAGGAACTGTGTGTAAACTTAATATTTATCTTTTGCTATGCCATTATGTGTGTCTCTGACTAAGTTTTCTTCAGATTAGGAGTCATGCCCAGAAGTATTTCTTGAAAGTTCAGAAGAATGGGACAGTAGCACATGTGCCTCCTCCTCGGCCTAAGCGCAAAGCTGCTCATCCTTACCCACAAAAGGCATCCAAAAATGGTTTAATTTGCTTCTATTTCACACCATGATGATGCTTTGTTCCTTAGAGTCTGATTGGATACAACTTCTAGAAATTTCTCTATTGAAAAAAGCTCTTTATATTAGAGAAACTCTAAAGAAGAATACTTTTAACTTGTATCAAAACAGGTTATTAGAATCACAGCATGCACATTCTTACATAATGTTTTGTGGGTTGGCAGTTTTGGTGCCATTGCCAGCTTCCATGGCTTATGTTTCTTCAACTGGTACCCTCCCACCCGGGTATGTCACATGGGATGAAAATTCCTTGCTCGTGAATGCTGGATCCAACAAATCTCAAGAAGAAATCAACAATCTTCATGGAAGTGAAGGCATGCACTCTTCTTTTTGTTCTTATTGTTGGTTCAATTGTTTGTTTGACATGATTATAAAGAGTCTGCAGTGGCTGTACTAAATGGAACTTTCCACCACTTATTATGTTATATGACGTTACCGATTCAGCTGATATTGGACCAAAGGGGACAACACGAATTGGCCACACCAGTCTTAGTGGTGTTGGGAACTCTACTAGAAAATTGCCTGCCACTGAGATGCCAAAACAAGGGAACCAGGGTCAGGTTCTTCATGGTAATAATCTTCCATGCATTGATTTTTGTTTTACATTTGTTTCCACAGTGAAATTAGTAACTGGTGGTGATTGTCTCATCTTGACCAAATTTCAAGGTTTGCCAGATTTTGCTGAAGTTTACAGCTTCATCGGAAGTGTTTTTGATCCAGACACAAAAGGCCATGTCCAGAAGCTGAAGGAAATGGATCCTATAAATTTTGAAACTGTGAGTTGAATAAAAACTTTTCAATATCATTATTCAATTAAATGACATGTAGTAACCAAAGCAAATTATGAAGGAAAAACTTAGCTCTATAATCAAATAGGGATCGATTCAGTTTTGATAGATAATGCCGCATTGCGAGACAAAACTAAATTAACTAGATGCATGATAAATTTTTTCCAAATGATAAATTGGCCTTGTAGTAGGATAAGGCTTTATTGTTTTTGTTGTTGTATATATAATAAACAATCATTCCTTCTCCTAAAACAATAGGTCTTTTTTTTTTTTTTTTGCATAAGCCAATGAATTTATTGAAATTTAGAGCCTAAGAAATGCTCACCCACAAGAGCAACAATAGGTCGTTTCAAGGAAGGTGATGTTTATATGCATCTGTGGTACCATAAAATGCTATAGCTTTTCTGCTTAACTTTTATTTTAAGGGAAGGGTGTTGCTCCTTTTGGTTCAGTTTTCAAAAGGCAAAAATGAAAAACCCATTAAAAATAAAAAAAGATCCGCTGCTAATATTTTTGAATGGTTGTCATAAGTCATAATCATATGTCATACTAGGTTTGAAATTGAGAAAGAGCTTGCATATGTGAAAATGGAGGGAGTTAACTAAAATCATTTCCACTGTTTATATGCATTCCCTTATTCCAGGTTTAGATTCCTCACTAAGAACCTTGTTTCCTGCATGTTAGTCTTTAATCGTCACTAACACCATAAAGGCATGTTAAAAGTTTCATTAAAATTGAGTTAAATGTTAAAATTGAGTTTCACATTTAGGAAAGTTTTGAGCAGTAGTATTATCTTCCAAATCACATTCACAGGGATAATTAAATAATGCACTGGTTACTTTGTATGATCTCTTTTAGTTGCGAACTGGTGGAGCATTGTTCTTGTTCACTCAGTGATCAATTCTAGGTCAGAAGTGCGAAACTCCCTTCCATTTCTTGAACTGGTTTCAATCTTCGTAAAGGGAGTGGTTCCAATTTCTTACAAATAGATTGACCCTCTTGTTCCCTAACTCATATATCCTCTTTGTTTGAATGTACTTGAAAAGCTAATGAGGCGAAAAATGGACTAATGAGTATACAATTACAAACTTGTTTAGTTCTTTTTATTATCTGTTGACTTACATGTATGTGATGTTCTTCTGCAGGTTTTGTTGTTAATGAGAAACCTCACTATCAACATGTCAAATCCTGACTTTGAGCCCATTGTAAGTTTCAAAATCAATCTCAATCACGACGATTATATGCACTATTTGCATCCTGATTAATCATGTTTGCTGTGAATTGACTGGATTCATATTGTATTATTTGTTGAAAATAGAATATGAACTTATGACATGATCCTTGTTTGGTAAAAAACACAAGTAAAAGTAATATGACGAGATCGAATTCCCTGCGAGTTGTGATGACTATTGAATGCTAATGTCATCTGCTTCATTTTTGTAGAAAGAAGGGCATGCTCATGAGTCATGAAATTGTTTTTACGTATGAACTTGGATGAAAACCTTGTGCATTATTGTTTTGTACAGAAAAAGGCCATGTCATCATACGATGCTAATACAAAGACAGGAGTTACTGCAGGAATAGATGTCAAGAAGCAGACAAATGATGTATCATGTCAAACAGCTTGACAACCATTTATTGAACTAGTACGTGTTTTTCCTCGTGTTTTGTAGCTTTCTTTTGTTTTCCATATTCGTTTGCATTGTAAATTTGTAACGTCTCCTAATACAGTTATGTGGTCAAATGAGGATGGAAGACTGTGGTTGTAAACGCAGCCAAACCATCAGCCTTTGTAACCACAACCGGGAGAGTGTGTTAGAAATGCTACCAAAGCCAAAAATACATTCTTCAGGTAATTCTTAAGGTGCACATGGTTTTGTAGTATTGTAGTGATCATAGTACGTGTTTATAGGACGTGGTTTTCAAGTAGACACGGGTCTAATAGCAAGATAAAGTTTGATGGTTCAGGTGTATTATTAATATCAATTGGTGGTGGTGGTGGTGGTTGGGTGGGAAGGGGCTGGTTATAGTAGCTTTCAATGTGGCCTAACTTTCAATGTAATTGTAAATGATAAAGAGCATCATAACGGGAAGTGGACCCAATTTCTAATTCTATTTACATTTTTTTTAGCTTCAATAATTGGAATAAAAAGTTTGAACTTATCAAGAAAGCAGCTCAATATAAGGTTCCTTTGTTTTACATGAAAAACTAACATCCTACGGTATGCAGATATTTTAATATAAAATCTGAAATCGGACTCACTTAATTATATTTAGCATTTAAAATTAATTTTACTAGAGAGACATAATAGGTTTGTTTTAGATAGAAGTTTAAATCCAATTATTTCACATGACAATGAAGTGCTGGTTATCAAATCAGTTCTGCAAGTCATTCAAATCAGTTTTTCCTCACTAGAAAGAATTTCTCAGCCAATTACTTTGTACGAAAAGAATTTCTTGCAGTAGTTAGAATACCACTCAAGAACAAATCCTCCTTAGATATATCTCTACTTAATACTACTCGGATACAAGATTGAGGCAGCATACCTCACTTAGGCATTTTTTATAACAATAATGCTTTCTGCACATCACTTGGGATTTCTTTTAGACATACCTCACACTCACGCATCAAAATGAAAATACAGTAATGCACGGACGAAAAAATATAGTACTACGCCGCAGAATTATAGTAAGATGCTGATAAGCAGTGTTTGTGAGAACTTATCTAAACTCGTGGCTAAAAAGAGCAGGGTAAGATACTCTTTTGATATTTTCTTAATTTAATTGATTTAATTTCATCCTTTTACTATTAAAAAGCTTAATTTAAGTATCTTGATTTTAAAAAATGATGCAATGTTAAGTTTTTCATTTAATTGAGATTAACGAAAATGATGTTAACTTTCTGTACACAACTATAAGACAATTTTAATTGTGTAATATGTAAAAAAGTTAATGTTAAATTCAATTGAATGAGAAAACAAATAACAGTACATTGTTTTTAAAATTAATGCCAGTTGATTTTAACTGACACTTGTTGGTTGACGTATTTTTTGTGGGGAGGAGGCTTCTGCTATTAATGCTGCTGGTCTCAAACCATGGTTTCTGACTCTGATTATGCAGAATTTGACAACTTTTCAAAGTGACTGGGTGTTTCCCAGTGAATTATAGGTTTTGTTTTAATTTCTTTTGGATAACATTTCTTTGCGGATTGTTAGGACGTGAAAGAATAAAAATATTTAGTATACCTTGGTAATTTGTGGACGTGTAAACTATTTTTATACTTTTCAGTTTCAACTCTCATTTCTTTCTCAGGTCAAAGACTCTGAATGAATGGGCAGGAGCAGGAGACATCTTCAGATTATTAGAGAATGCAGTTTTAAGTTAAACGATTTTAACTAAAAGTATAATCAATATTTTATTTCACATAGACTTGGGTTGCTTTAATTTATAAATAATTAAATATATGAGTTGGTATAGGTTAGGTTAGGTTGGCCTCGAGGTCTATTTGCATTTATTCAACACTAATTTGTAGGATGTTGGAGAAGCTTATAAAATAAATAAAAATATAAAATTATAAAATTATAAAATAGATATTAAATAATTATACAAAATTAACTATAATAGGAAAATTTTAAAAACCTAATTATTCAATAAAATATAAAAAAATTTAATGTCTTGTACATCAATTAATATTAAGTATTTAAACGCATAACCAAATATCAAATATTTTTGTTTTAATAACACGTTATGAAAAATAATTTGTGAAAAAAAATCCTAAATATATGTGTGTTAAACTAATTGGTCGACCTAAACCCCTAATAACGTGTTTAATCCTTTGACAGAAGAACTAGTCCTTGGGAGACGACCTAGGAGTCACTTCCTAGTACTGCATTTTAATTGCATAAATTTGATCGAAGGAGGTCTGACAAGGTTCACGTTTGCTTAATTCGTGTAGTGAGGTCTTAGGTTAATCTTCGCTTAGTTGGTTAATCTGGACTGAACAAGATTAAGTTCGAACAGATTATCTGTTATGAACCGAGGATATCAAAGGTGCATTATGTTCAAGGGTCTGACCTATTTTAATTACTGCAATTAATTAATATATCTGCTCTGTGTTTTATTTAATTTTGATAATCTACTCAAAACCCCCCCAATTACGTGTTTGATCCTTTGACAGAAAGAAGGGGAGACGACCTAGGAGTCACATCCTAGTACTGCATTTTAATTGCATAGTCTTGATACTAATCTTTTTAGGCGGGATCTTTCTTTCTTCTTTGCTTGGATGATGTGATTTTTTTTTATGGGAAATACCTACAAAAAAAAGACTATGATGCTTAAATTAGTATGTGGTATATTACATAATATTTATAGAGTGCATACCTTTTTATTCAAGATTGAATTATCTTTGTGGATAACTAGCCTATTATGATACTAATGTAGTAGTCGTTATTTAATCTTATCTTTTATTAAATCTTTATGTGGTGCGACCTCAATGGCTTGATGTGGCAATATCGATGTCGTTGTTATGTCATTTGAATATTATTTTAGTGTTTCACGTCCTTAATCGAGTCGGCACACCTTTTAACTCACATATTTAAATGAAATGATTTGAAACATATATACATTTAGATAGATATTACTTAAGTCGTTGCAAGTTGCACGTAAATGAACCAGATAGACACTACAATCTAATTTTGTAATTGCACATAACTCAGCATAAAATATTAATAATAATAATAATAATAACAATAATGTTATTATTATTATTATTATTATTATTATTATTATTATTCAACGAAATTCATGTTTTGAGAACGCATATTAATTTTTAATTATTAATTTTATAATACTGTACGAATTATATTTATAGGTAAAAAAAAATACATAATGAAAAGACATTGCACACACATCATGCATGTTTATGTGTACATAAATGGATTAAATACATATCATAGTAAAACCGCATTCAATTTTATTTAGGTACTCTCTCCACTTCATCTTCAAATCAATTCCCTCTCCATCGTCTAAAGAGGGCTACCCACATTCAAACACTATGCTAACAGTAATTGTATCTTATATAAAATTACTTTAATTTCATTTTTTTATGTTAAGATTTTTTTTAACAAATAAAAGATATTACGATACATGTCTATCTATTTCAACTTATAATTACTAGGTTGACCTTAATAATTATATATTAAAATTAATTTATACTTTTAATCTTTCAATATTTTTTCTTCAAATTTGAAGTATAATATACATAGTCTTAAATTTTATTATGATGTTGTTATTATAATTTTTACTTGAAAAAAATCTATTAAATATAACTATTGTTTATATAAAAGTCTGATTTAATCGATTGAGCTGTATGATTTATTTAGAAAAATTTAATACAGGTTTGATTACTATAAATAAAAGAAGAAAAAAAATCACAAATTGTCTTTATTTTTATAATAATTATTTTTAAAAATTATATATAAGATGTTTTTTTAAATCAATTAGCTGTGTTAAATTTTTAACTACAAGCGTGTGGTTTAGCGATAGGAGTTGATCCACGCTTAAGTAAAGTTAGGGGTTTGAATCCTGCCTTGTGTATGCAGTCGCGTTAAATTTTGGGGTCAGTTATCCCACTCTTTGAGGTGTCTCTAACGTAGCGAAGAGATAGTCACTGCTATCGGCCGTGGATACTCTGCGAACGAACAAAAAAAATGTGTTAAATTTTTATATATGCACAATACATGGTTATTATTTAGTATGGAGGTTGTGGTAATATCTATGATATTCTAAATTTGAATCTTGTTTTTTGTTATCATAATTCGAATCGATAAAAAATAATATGTTGGTTATTTATTTATTTATTACAATCTGATGGATTCTAATGCAAGCAAGAGTAACTGAATGTAGACATAGAGACAAATTTAAGAAGATGAGAGAGCATAATATATATAGTGCGATGGAGTGGAAAGTGATACGTAACTATCATTGGTCACAGAAGCACTAGCCTAGAATTAGTTCGTCACTAATCCAACTTGCAAAGTGAGGTTCGCTTTCATCTGTTGTTGGGCTAACCTGCTTCCATTACGTGGAACGCAAATTGGGCTTCTCTAACAACTTGGTTTTCGCCCATAAAGGGAAAGAAACATGGTGCCAACCTATAAATTCTCGAAACATAAACTTGGACCACATCAACAAACACCAACTTCCACTGACGTTCCATAATAATGCTTAGCAAAATTTAGTTCTAATTACGTCATCCAATTAATTTGAGAACCAGATTACAGAGACCTCCACTTGGTGTCGCTACCACAACCCTCACCCATGGTTAAGAGCCTCTTTAATGGCATTTATTTATAAAGTAGTTTAAGACAAAGTGGTTCGAGATATAGATATAGATACAATGCATATTATGTTTTGTGTTGTGTCTTAATCCCATCCCAAATTCTATAGTACCTCTTTGACTTTATGCATTAAAATATTACTATAAAATGAAATGTTAGTTGGATTTTAACGTATGGATCATTGTCCAATTGTTTGTCTAGAACCTCACTTTAAAACTTTATATCATTGTCACTCTAGATATGTAGTATGTTGCATACATTTAAAAAATAACTCACGCGCCAAGCTTAGCTCTCCAATGTCTCCATTGTTATCAAAATATTTTGTCAATTGAAAGAAATATTGGTTGGTTTAAATATTTATTTAGAAAACATGAATTAGTAAAGTCTAACATAACAAAGAGAAAGTTTTTTGTTCTCCTATCCAACTTAAACAAAATTGTATTTCATAAAAAATACATATGGTTTAGACAAAAAAAAAATGAATAGATAGGTAAGTTCTAACATGACATAGTCTTGATTTTCTAATTGTGCATGTGTCTATGGAAAAAAAAAAACTTTTCTGAAAGAGATAAAACTCAGTTATCTCTACATCTCAAAAATCAGTAGAAATATCCTTGGTATAAGAAAAAAAAACTGAGAAAATATATATGATCAGCACACATATTCTTTATTTCTTTAGTTGCATTTTTTTACTATCGTAAAAACTAATATCATCCTCATTAAAAAAAATGCGAAAGATATAACAGTGTGACTAATTTGATATTTTGTTTTCATTTTTAATACAATATTCTTATAAATCATAATAAAATCACTTTTATATTAAAACATTAAAAAAAAGACATACTATTTTCATCAATTTAAAAATTAAATAAGACATGCACTAATTTATTTATCTCGTGGTGGTAAGGGGGTAAATTGGTAAATTGAGAGAGCAAAAACCAGTAACTAAAAGCGCAAGTACAGTAAGTGTTATGTTCTTCCATACTTGAAAATTAAACGACACACCCGAAGTTGGTTTTGTGAGAAATTTCATTCATATTCTTGCGCAGTTATTATTGTTATTAAACAAACTTTTAATATTCCCCTCTATAGGAGGATACTTACTAGGGTTAAAAGTTTGGAATATTGTACAGGATCAGTGTTGCAACGTAAAGCCAATACTATCATGTCTTAATGTTGAGTGATGAATTATGGTGCAGTTAAGATTATCAGAGTTTAGGAATTGCGAAAACAAAATGTGAGAATTATACATGGTATATATGTACTGATGTAATATAATATATTATGATTTGGGTACAAGAAATTATGCTTATGTATAATTTGAGATTTCAATGATATTTTATAATATGATGTTATTAAGGGATAATTATGTCTTTTTAATTAGTTAATGCAAATATATAGTTAATGATTTAATCCTTGAATAATGCATGTATATAAATGAGTATTTGTTGAGAAAGGACGGTCTAATAAATTATTAGAGTTGATTTAGTGAATATAGTTAAAATAGTTTATATGATATTTTAAATTTAAATTTCAATGCGAATATTATCTATAAAAAATTATTATTAAAGAGTTATTAATATTGAATTTAAGTATTGGATATGTAATTATTTTAATCACATGAAGAGATAGTTTTTACCGTTGGTAATGATTTTATTGAATTTGAATTGTCGATTAAAAAATTTTGGAATTTTTTAGGCCAATCCCGATCTCTTTAAGGGTGTAAGCGAGTTAGATTGGGTTGAGTTTTGATAAATCTGTTATCTGACGCAATCAAAATTTAGCAGGTTGGGTTGGATTATATATATTTGAGCAATTTATTTTTGAAAATTTCAATCCAACTCAATCCAATCATGAACGGATTGAGTTAATTGGGTCAATATAATTATATTTAATGTTATTAACATATAAAGCAAACAATAATATAAATTAAATTTTAAAATAAATTTATTAATTTGTTACATTATTATCAACCCAAAAAATTAATACAATATAAAATTTAAAATAAATATATTATAATGTTATAATACTATCAACCTAAAATATAAAATTTGTTAATGTAAGAGTAACAATAAATATTGATATAAATAAATAATAACTTAAATATTATTATTATTAAATATGACTGGGTTGAGTCAGGTCGATAGAGTTGAAAACACAAAATTCATTACACAACTTGTACAATATCAGGTTTTAATCAAGTTTGATTGGATATGATTTGAATACTAAAAAAATTCTATCTGAATTCATTAGGTTTGTTTAACTCAGTTTAAATTCGTAGATTCCTTGTGTGTCCGCTTACACTCTTAGATCACTTAATTATAATCCTCTCCATGAGCCAAGGGCACGGCTTGGACCGCATTTGTTGTTCTGCTAATAGCTAAACCACCTCACACAATCACGTTTTAACCTAGCAACTAGTGTTGTACCATCTATATAAGAACCTAGCCATTTCTACTTTAACTATCATCTTAGCAAAATTAATTTCAAAATCATTTCCAAACGTTCCCTTTCAATTCAACAATCACCCTCCACCATGCCCAAATTAACTTTTCACCACCCTTTTTGCTATTGGATCACAGCTTCATAAACCAGTTCTTTTGCCCAGCTAGGTTGTTTAATTCTTTAGCACCAAACCTTACCTAGGGAACTGTTTGTGTGTTGATGATGGTGATATTAATTGGTTCGATGCGTGAGATTATATGGGACAGGGCAAATTGGGTACAAAAGTGTACTCATATAACATATCATCAATGCATCTTACTTATATGCACACCAAATATCTGATGGTATAATATTATTTTATCAATTTCTTTATCCTGTGATGTTTTAGTGCATGTATTCACTTGTACAATATAGTGCAGTGCACCCATAAATAGCCTATCAAACTCAGCAATTGCATGCAATGTGTCGTTTCTCCAATTCTAGTTTCTTCTTCATTCGTACAATCTCAATAAATATCATAATTCAACTAGCTACTTACTCCACAAAAACCACAGGCATCGTACATTGATTCTATTCATCTTTTGTTTCTTATATATCAACTTCATTCACTTTTTACTCGACAACGTATAAATTAGTGATCGTTACACTATCTTATGGCTTCGATATTTATGGAGATCGATGACAGATTCATTCATTATATGGTTTGAAAGCAAGTTTTGGGATTTGACATTTTAAGTATAGAATGACATACCTAAATGAAGAAAAAAATATAATTGTAGTTGATAATTTAAAAATTAATATTGATGATGCTTGATTAATGTTTTTTTATCCGTAAAAATTATAATAATAACACTAAAATTCAATCATAAAATCTTAGACACATGAGACTTAAATAATATAATTTGTTACGCACGCAATTATTTTTCATTAGTATTTTAACTGTTAGGAGTAATTCTTTTAATTAATAATTGTAATAATTTATCATCTAAAATAATTATTTGATATATAATTAAGAAGTCAAATTCAAATTTTCGTTTTAGGTCCAGTGTTCAATATTGTGAGACCATAAAGTAAATAATTTCTTATTTTTGTATCCAAACATAGCCCATAACATAAGAAACATAGTAAATAATTTCTTATTTTTGTATCCTACTAGTAATAAATGCAAACTCTAGACATGCTATAACAGTATATTAATATGGGGGAGTATATGCGCATGGATGAGACGCAAACGTTGCTTGTTATTTATACAAGAATACCAATATCTTATACATACACACACTTTCCTTTCAATTTTATTACTTTGTTTTGCCAAACAATTTTACTAGTTTAGTTGTCGAGTAGTAACTACAATTTGTGGTAAACGTAAAAAAAAAAAGGAACAGAAGTCCTTCACATCAATGCAATAATTTTAATCTACACGCTTTAGATTCTATTCTAGTTTAATATTACTTCTTTTATGCTCCTTGGAGTTCTTATGTTATATAAACTTTTAATAATTTAAAGAAAATAATGTAAAAAAAAGTAAAATTTACAATCATCTTTCTATATATCACCACACCATTATTAATACCCCAATAGTTTCAATTATCATTAATTTTTCTTACATTTATCTGATTAATAGAATATTTCTTTTACCGGTATAATTGCAAGAATTTTCTTCTTGCTCGTAATTTTGTTTCTTTTCAAATATTTTTCTTTAATTAAAATGAATAAAAATTTAAAATACAAAATAAGTAATGATGATTATTATTATGGAAAGAAAATGAATTGTGAGGTGAATGAAGTGTGTAGTAAAATAAAGCATAGAGTGTTCATAAAATGAAAGATGAATGTAACAGTCAGTGAAAGACAAAATTTGATAATTGAATGATAACTTAGAGAGTCAATGAGCTAAAATATAAAGAAATAAACAAATACAGAAATTCAAAATACATATTTGTTATTTTCTCAAAGTGCTCAGTGCCATAAGTTTATTATGTATCAAGATGGTATAATAACCTAATATAATACTAATAATAAAAATATTATAATGTTTAAATGTGTCCTAATCCTGTTTCTATTAGAAAGTATTAATAGAAAATAAAGAGAAAGAGGAGAAAAGGAGCCAGTTGACTGACTCCATGACATACACATTGTGAGGCCTGAGCAAAATGCGCCAATATGATAGGAATAAATTAATTAATATCTAAATGCATTATGAAGAAAATGATTTAGTTATTTTTATTTTTTTATATAGGAAATAAATATATAATAATGGGGAATTTGTTTCCCCGGGATAAAAGGTGAAGGTGCGGTAATTGTGAAGAGGAAAAGAAAAGGAGGCCCAGCATAGTATAGCATAGGATAGCATTCATAGGATCAAAGAAGAAGAAAAGGCAGAGTCAGAGTCTCCTCACTCTTTAGTCTTCTCAAGGTGCATGAAATTTCAATTCCAATTTCCTATGGACTATGCTTACAAGCCCATTCAACAAAGTGAATCCGTTGCCGTAGCAGATTCCACCCCTCGCTAAGCTTCTAACTAACTTCACTTTCCCTCCAAACCTCTCTAACAGCTTCTAACAAACTAACGCCTCACCTCGCCATGCTGGATCTCAACCTCAACGCCGATTCCGCCTCCCACACGCCGCCGCTCTCCGCCGCGCAAATGGAGAGCTCCGGAAGCTTCAATTCCTCCGTCGTCAATGCCGCCGACACCGAAGACTCCTGCTCCTTCGGCGACGCCGTCGCCTACAACTTCGCCATCCTCAACACCGCCTCCGCCGTCGACGACGCCGCCACCTCCGCCGCGCTCCATCTCGCCGGAGAATCCTCTCTCCGGACCATCCAGCTCTTTCCGCCCGCCCAATCCGGAGACACTCCTCCGGGATGGCTGGACTTCTCCTCCATGGACCCGCACCACCGCGGCGCTGCCGCGCCGGAGCAGAGGATCGCTCCCCGGCAACCGCAGGTCAAGAAGAGCCGCCGCGGACCGCGGTCGCGGAGCTCGCAGTATCGCGGCGTTACTTTCTACCGGAGAACGGGGAGATGGGAATCGCACATTTGGTTAGTGAATAGTAATCGTTTATGCTTCTCTGAAGTAACACGCTACTGTTTCTGAATGCTTCTGTGCGTGCAGGGATTGCGGGAAACAGGTGTACTTGGGTGAGGACGCAAGTAGAAGATTCGTTTTATGTTATTATGTGCTTCACCTTTCTTCAATTTCGCTTTTCTTTTTTTTTTCTTTTTCTTATAGGTGGATTCGACACAGCGCATGCTGCAGCTAGGTGATTTAATTTTCGTGGTTAGGTGTTTTTTATTTTCTTTAAGTGTATGAAATGTTTTTATCAGTTTTATTATTAATTTTTTTTAGGGCGTACGATCGAGCTGCAATCAAGTTCCGTGGAGTTGATGCGGATATCAATTTCAACGTTAGCGATTACGATGAAGATATAAAGCAGGTTGTGAATGAAGTGATGATTTTAATCTGTTGGTATTTTTAGAAGCTTGAATGGAATTTGTGACTTTAGCTTCGGTTTTCCGTTAGTGTGTTGTGCAGATGAGTAATTTCACGAAGGATGAGTTTGTGCATATTCTGCGTCGACAGAGCACTGGCTTTTCGAGGGGAAGCTCAAAATACAGGGGAGTTACTCTTCATAAGTGCGGGCGGTGGGAAGCTCGCATGGGACAGTTTCTTGGGAAAAAGTGAGATAACAAAACCCTTTGGTTCAATTCAGTAATCGATGAATCTGACATGGTTTGATCACCTGCATTTTAATTTGATCAATTAAGTATTAAACGCTATTTTACTTGGGTTGGTTCCGTTCGTGATGAATCAGAGTTCAGTTTTTAAGTTGGCCATGGTTTATTGCTTGCCTGCAGGTATATATATCTGGGGCTATTTGACAGCGAGTTAGAGGCTGCAAGGTTTTATCAATCCTATATCAGAACATCTCAGACTAAATTCCTAAACATTTTGGATTCCATATATTTATTTACACACACATTTTGTGTCATTGACTTGCTGTGTAATAATTCCAGAGCTTATGATAGGGCTGCTATCAAGTGCAATGGAAGGGAAGCAGTTACAAACTTCGAGCCCAGCTTGTATGAAGGGGATATGATTTCTCAGTCTGATAATGAAGGTGCCACTTGTTTATCCTTGATAATCTTCTTTTTTATTAATTTATTTGTTTTAGTTGCTTCCTAATCTGCTTAATGATTGATCTATGAAGTCTTGCACTGACATGTTGATTCTGACACTATTCAGATAGTAAGCAAAATCTTGATCTTAACTTGGGCATAGCTCCCCCTTCTTACACTGACGGTCAAATCAAGAACACACCCAACAATGGGAGTGGTTTGAAGGTTCCGCACGGCTGGGACCAAATACCTGTCGATAAGAGAGTTATGGTAAGGTGGAGAGTGTTGTATGGCCATGTATGGTTTGCTTTAATTCTTGAGTCTAGAATTTCCCTAGCCCCTCTGTTTTTTCACGTGTTTCTGAATTTGTAGTTTGTATTCTCAGCTTTCATTGTATATTTTCACTTTGCTTAATAGCTTGAGCACTCTGGATCAAGATCACTGCCTGTTCAGCCACCTCCTGGCTTCTCCATGGCATCCGAGCGTCATTCTTCCGTCTGGAGTGGTAGCAATTTCTTTCCCATCTGTGAGGTGATTTTCACATATTCTGGCAAACATGATTAATTTTGCCTTACTTTGTTCTGCGTTACATACTAATTATGGTTTTATATTCACAGGAAACAGCAATAGAGAAGAGGATGGAAGCTGGTCCCATGCCAAATTGGGCATGGCAAGTCCAAGGTCCTTACGGCGGGGCAACTCTTACTCCACCGTTCTCTACTGCAGCATCATCAGGATTCCCTTCAACAATAATACCATCAGCTGCGGACAGTCAAATTCATTTTCCAAGCATGACATTCCTCCACCCACATTTTCCACCATCAATCACTAACTCCAGCACCGTATCCACTTTCTACTGCGGTACCTAAAAGTATTGCCAGGTAGAGCAATGGTACAATTGCAAATCTTCTTGACTTCAGCGTATGGTTGATAAACTAGTAGGACTATAAGTAGCAATTGTCTGATTGAATTGCTTGGGTCTAGAGATTTTTACTATTTTGTCCTCCAATATACTAATTTTCTTCGATGTAAAGAAATGCCATGCCGCGAAGGCATGTTGATGTTGAACTCTGCTTTTTCTGATTTGAGACTATTATAACAAGCAAGCATTTACTTTGGTATCTCCAACATTCAACCTCGGTGCTTTTCTTTTCTATCTAGAAAATACTTGAAAAAGATGACGGTGATCTTTGAAGAGACGGGATTTGAGCGCATGCTAAGTGCAATCCGTATTTGTGGGTCATTGTTTTTAATTTTCTTTGCTTTTGTTGGTGTTTATTATTGCCGACAAAACACTATTCACAATTTTTGGATTGAATCCCATCACATGGTTATTCTTATATTTATGGAACACCAAAGCTGTCTTATGGTCTTTGGTAATGATTCCTCCCCTATCCTAGGTCGAAGTTTATACAATGGTTTTGTGCGCACGGTAGAACGTCCAAATCACTTTATGTCCCATTCCCATGTAAATTGTACACATTCCTTGCTTCTCCCACATTTTTTTAGTTTTTACTCCTCACAAACAGAAATCTATAGTAGTGTGTAATAAGCATCATTGTCAGAGAGTTCGGAAACAATGTCCGAGAAGATATTGAAAGAAGTTATAACAGCAAACCAAACTGCCGTTGAATCATTGCCGACGCTTTACAAGGTTTATAAATTATAATATTAACGCAAACCAGACAAACACGATTTCCCATCATTTTTATAACCGATGCATCTTTATTTCTTTATTGTAGCTACTTTTTTTATATATAAAAAGGATCATAATGTCGTTAATAAATATATAAAAAATAGGATCATCTTTTTTTCTTTACGAGTTCGGATTGGAGGTTTAATAATTAATTGTCATTGAACAATAGGAAGAAGAGAATATAATGTATGATCTTGATTTTGAATGCAAAATCACACCGTAGAATATTTCAAGTGACAAAAAAAATGTTGCATGGAAAAAAATTAAATGAACTAAGTTGGCTTCTGGAAGTTTTAAATTGGGCTTAACAAGTGTTGATTATAGGAACTTCAAATAGTGCTTAGATTAGAGTTTGTATATTTGAGTTTGATGTTATAAACTTGATTTAATTAAAATTGAGTTTTAAATCATGTAATTTATGTTTGGAAACTTATATTTCAAATGTGATTTTGACAAAAATGTTATTTGGACGCTACAAATTAAAATCACTTTGAAGTTTAGATATGTAATTGTTTAAAAGGGTGATTTTCAAATCAAATATTAATGTGATGATATCAATACTAAATTATAAGAATAACATCTCTACTGTTAACATAACACAAAGGTTTTTGTTTTCTTAAATGCAAAAGTACATATATTTTCAGCTTGTTTGGATTCAGTTAATAGAAAAGATATTTTTACTCATAAATTACTTTTGATACCATTTAGTGAAGCACGTTAAGACTTGACTAAAGAGTTTTCAAGATGGAAATTATAAGGGGTGAAAACCAATACTATACAGCTACTATGCCATTATTGTCACCTATATCTTTTGTTTTCATAATTATTGGTACTACTAATTCCCCAAAACCCAACCACTACCACCTTATATATCCCATGATCACTACAGGCACCAACCATGATGAATATTATCCGTATAATTTGGCATGGTAAATTGAGTGTTAATAGTTAAATTATTTGCTAATGTGATAGTTAAGCAAGAGAAAGGGTCGGTATAAAGAAGACATGGGAAGGCAGGCAGATGCCAAAAGGACAAGAGGTACGAGATTGAAAATGATTTGTTTGGGGGCATGGCATGATGGTTTGCAGCCACGTGTAGAAATAGGGGCTCGCTATGTCCCGTCCCTTTCCTGGGATTAAAGTAATTCCGCATTCCTCGGCTTTAGGATTCAATACCCAATTAAAAATTGAAGAGGGTGGGTTGAGGGGGGCATGGCAATGGCAATGGCAATGGCATCAGCATTCAGCATTCAGCATTCAGCATTCAGCATTCAGCATTCAGCATTCAGCATTCAGCAGGTGCAGCTATCGTACTACTTCTACTATACCACTTTATAGTTTGTATATGTGAATAGTATAAAGTTGATTATTCTGTCACTGCCAGAGGCAGGGCCACACTTTCGAAAGTAGGTGACCTATCAAATCCGTACTAAGTTACTCAGCCTCCCCTATCTCTCTCCTTTTTATTGCTCTTTCCAAACTCCAACGTTGCCAATGAATGGCCTAATCCCACACTGTAACTTTGCCCACATCATTATCCCTATTTCCACATTTCATTTTAACCCACCCCCACACAAACAAAAGTTACCCTCCCTGCCCACATTTCCATGTTGCAACTCAAAGTTCTTCTGCAGTTTATATTTGGATTAACTTGTGTTTCTGTTGCTTTCATAATTAATTACAAGTTTTTCCTTATGATTTTGTTATTTAAATAATATTTAATTAGAGAAAATGATCTCTTTTAAACATAAATTAATCTTTAGTCAACTAGATCGTGTTTATAAAGGAAAAGTTTAATTTTGAAGTAAAAATAATTATATTCAATATTATATAAGTGAGAAAAATTCATATACATATTATCTTAATATTTTTATGTAAGATGTGATCTCAAATTATCTTATAGAATTTCCTTATAACTTATGAATGAAAATTTTTCCTGTTTCAATCAACCTATATTTTAAACAATAATTAATTTTTTAAGAGTGTTATAGTCAAATTTGTGATTATGTTATGGTTAAGTTTTTGAGTTCGTTAATAACTATTTTTATTGAAAATTAAATCATCTAAAATACAATTTTAAATTAAATATTAAAAAATCAACTATCATAAGTATAATACCCTATAGATATGTCATTAGATGATAATCTATACTATTAATTTATTCTGATTAAACTTAATTAAATTATTCTGTAATGTGACCTATATGATATAGTCAAAGGTTTTACTTTCTTTAAGACAACCATCCCAGTGCACGGCTCCTTTTGACAAAATGTTGGGGAGGGACAGAAATTTTGGTGACTGGAGAGTACAAAGCATCAAAAAATAAACTCCAGATTAAATTTGATTGGATATGGTATAAATATCCATTTGAGTGTTGCTATATCCTCCAAGAATTACAATCAAAATATCTTTCGAATATACAGTAAAAATTTTATTATATTTAAATTATTAACTGATATACTATGTCGAAATATATTTTTGCATCATTTTTGTATCCATTAATATTTATTTGTTACAACTAATTGAGTCGTGTTAATGTAAGAGAGGGACACGCGCTGCGGTGGTAACTGGTAACAGTTGATTTAGAGGGGCACCAACCTTTTTGATTTGAATTAGAAATAAAAAGTAATCATAAACCCAAGGAGATAATACTGTATGAAAAGTCAATTCACTATGCTTACGAGTTATGATTATTGTGTTTTGTCTATTCAGTAAAACAGAAGAAATGTGAGATTTTGATCTGTTCAACATAGCTTATGAGCTAAAAGACTAGGTCATTATACCTCCTCTAAGTTGGCCCCTACTATGTCACTTTGATCCTACAAACTCAGTTTTACTGTTCTCACTCTTTCTGCTTTATTTTCCTAATACACATTAATGAAACCATCTTAATTTTGTTACATTGACAAGACTTCTCATCCGTTAATCATGGGAAATTAATTTTAATTGAGAATAATATTATATATTCTTTTGAAATTAATTTGACACATTTTTGGCTAATTAAATAACATGTAAACTTCTTAAATATGTCAGATTTATTTGGAGGAGGGGACAAGTAAAAGTGAAAGATATATTAGATGAAAATTTATTTGATAAAAAATAGGATAAAATTTGTAGTTATTTAATTGAGTAAAATTCAATAAAAAAAATAAGGTAAAATTAATATTTATAATTATTATTTTATCATTTTTTTATAATATATTTATAAAATCGATTATGATTTAGTGTTATAAAATAATTCGTTATATAATTGAGTCACAAAGACCATTTTTGTCATCAATTTTTATGTCTTAAAATTCTTCACATATTAGGATGGAAGAATTTATGGGTGAACCACGTACTTACTTTCACAATAATCATTTCGTTTCCTCTCTTACAAACATGTTTGATTTTTAAAATTTTTTACAGTCCCCTCCTCATTAACTTTATTTCGTGGGAATTCACGACTCTCAAACACACTGAAAAGAGTGATTATTTCTTTCCAATATTTCATATTGTATTTGTAAAGTTATACATTAATTTATAATTGTTTAGTAGTTCATTCGTATACATAAAATTAACATAAAATATATTTTTAAAATATGTAAAAATATGAATAATTAAATTATTATATAATTCTTAAAGGATTTGACATGAATCGAATAATTTCAATCATATAATTTAATGGTTATATTAGTATTAAAAAAATTAATAAACATCCGTTTTGTTCCTAAATTAAAAAATGTTGTTATATTAATCTCTAAAAATTGTAAATTGACAATTATATTACTTTAAAATTAATATATATATATATATATGTAAAACTAAAATAATACACACATAAAATGATAATAGCACTACTAGAATTTCTCTTATTACATGCGACTTTTCCTGCGATTTTTTCATAAAAATCTGCAGGAAATGTTGTTCCTGCAAATTTTTCTGTAAGAAATTTTGCAAGAATATTTTTTAAGAAAAAATAAAGAAATTATTATAAATTCTATCAATAATTTTTCAACTTTCAAGTGCTCACAATGAATTCATCCGAAACATTTGTTTCCATGCCTCCAACATGTGATACATAATCTTTTAAATTCTAAGATGGTAAGCCTAACACTCAACCATATAAATCAACTTGTAAGGTAAGTGTTGCCCCAACTTATATATTCTTTAATTGCTTTATTTTCAATCGATGTGAGACTTGAAGTTTTTTTTAAAATATTAAAATTATAAATTTAAATATATATTTTTTATTTTTCCTGCGGATTAAAATTTGCAGGAAAAGTTACCTGCAAAATTTTTCTACCATTTAGTAAACATTACTTGCGAATTTATTTTTGCAAGAAAATCTACAACAAACAAAATAAAATTCTTACAATACTTTCCGCAAATTTTTACCACGGAAAAAAATTTCTATAATTATTAAAATTGTAGCAAAATTTGTAAGAAATATCTGTAAATTATTTTTCACAAATAAATTCGCAAAAAAATTCTGTAAATATATTTTTGCAGGAAAATTCGCAAAAAATTTCTGCGAATATTTTTGTGCAAGAAAATTCGCAAAAAATTTAGTAGTGTAGATAGTACACATTAAAGTCATAATATTAATATATATTTGAACCGTAAGTTACTATATAACTAAAAGCTATTAATTCTTTTT